TGTGAAGACCTCGGTTTTCGACAGCAAAACCCTACCGTCATCTTTGTGGATAACCAAAACGCAATTGCACTTGCAACCGGGGAGCAGATGAGCCAACGCATCAAGCACATGGACGTCCGTTACCATTGGACGAGGAAAGTCGTTCGTGATGGAGTTGTGCAGCCGGAGTACTGCCCAACAGCTCAGCAGGCAGCGGATTATCTCACCAAGCCCCTTACAGCAAAGCAACATCTCACCTGCAGCCTCTTGTGCGGTCTCCAACCAATTCCACATGGCGCACCGTTTGCACTCAATACTCTAATTGACGCCGCTGGAGCTGTATTCTCACGTTCGGGATTCCCAAGGGGTGCTAGACAACAAGGCATCACGTAACTCCACACATCTCACTCATGTGTTTGGTGTAGTGTGCGTGCTCACGCATGTGCATAACTACCAACACACGAGTGAGAGGGGGAGTGGCGTGTGGAGTATTTTGGGGTGCAACCATTCGGGATCTGATCGCACAACCATCTTTCATTTTCGCCATTACAAGAGTCAGCCCATATGCATCAAGAGAAGACCTACTGTTGGACAGTCGCTGCTGGTCTGTCACAACCATTCGCCAACTGCAACGGCCGTTCTTGAAGACTTCATATGCTGCTGGTTTCAAGGGGGGAGGAATCAAGTCAGCATGAGGCAAGCAGACAAAGGAAATCACAAGAAGAAGCTGACATAGTCCTACTAAATACAAGGGAAGACAGCTGGAGTCAGGCGCTGCTAGGACTGCTCACCAAGGTGACACAGGTTCTGCTGATACCGCTGCCACCCAGTGCTAGAGCTGCACAAGTGCAAGCGGTCAGGGCATCAGGGAGAACTGCTGCAGGCCCGGTGCTGCAGGGCTTCAGGTGCTGCAGGGCGTCAGGGGGAGCTGCTGCAAGCGACCAGGTGATGCTGCTGCCACCAGTCAGGTGGTGCTGGCAGACGTTTGCAGAAGCAACCGCCAGGTGCAGGAGCGGCCGTCAGATGCAGGAGCAGCCGCCAGGTGCTTGTGTACCAGTTGCAGCTACTTTCGTCCACCACCTGGTATAGGGGGAGTGGCACAGGGCAACATGGAGCAACACAGGGTCAAGGGGGGCAGCACAGGGTAACATCACAGGGTACAAAGGGTAACATGGGTGAAACAGTCAGGTTCGACGAAGCATTCTCACCTCGGTAGGAAGGAGAAAGCCGTGCGTTGCCAGGAGTAGCAGCAGTGGGCCGCCACGAGTAGCAGCAGTGGGCCGCCAGGAGTAGCAGCAATGGGCCGACAGGAGTAGCAGCGGTGGGCCACCAGGAGTAGCAGCAGTGGGCCCCCAGGAGTAGCAGCAGTGGGCCGACAGGAGCAGCAGCCGTGCGCCACCAGGAGCTGCAGACGTGCGCGCCAGAGCGCCAGGTGCCGATGTCGGCTGCAGCCGCTCACGCTCGCTAGCTGGTATGGGCGGGGGCAAGGAAAATCACAAGAGAATGTGGGAGCAGTAACAAGTGACTCAGCACGGTCAATGCTGTAGTACATCAGTTGCAAGGAACACACATGGGTGATGAAGAGGTCAAAGTGCAAGCAGTGGTAGTTACAAGGTGAAGGGCTACTCACCAAGTCACGACAGAGTAGGCACGCACCTGCAGCGGTGCAGCGTCAGAAGCTGCTGGTGTGAGAAGGCACCATGAACAGGAGTCGCGCGCAAGGAGCTGCAGCGCGCAGGTTGTCAAGCGAGGAAGTCACGGCAGCCGCGCGACCGAAGCAGCAGTCGCGGATCTGGCCGCAGCCGCAGGAAACGCACATCCGGCGCTGCAGGTCGTTACGTGCGCTGCTGTCACCGAGTGTCAGCCATGACATGGCGAGCGCTAGTGATGCGCGCTAGCTACAGCTGAAGGACATCGCGCCATGGCGCAGCGCAACGCACACCAGAAAATCGTCGCAACTAAAGCAGCAGTCGCACGACAGCAAAGGAAATCGGGTCAGCACTGGAAGGCGGAAAAAGCAACGCGTCATAGGTCACATGACCAGAAAGAAGCCGTGCGCCATGAAGATATTCGCCAGCAACAGCTATCCTAAGACCAAGGGAGGCAATCCGCCATGCTGCTGGGAATCGCGCTGACCTGAACTGTCATTTCACCGTGGAGATTGCAGCTTGAGCAGCAGCCATCGATCTGGAGGTCCTCCATGAAACGAAAGACTGGGAATCGAGAATGACGAGACAGTCAAACCCCTGCTGGAGAAGGGTGTGGGAGAAACGGGAGCTGTGAAAGGCGACAAACTGAAAGGAGAGCTTGAAAAGGGAGCGTACAGTGCACGGGAGTTTGAGAAGCGGGGACGAGAATCAGAAACCCTAGGAGGGAGGAACTTGTGTCGTGACAAACAAGCCAGGTCGCCAACTTGGGAGGAACGTGCACCCGAGCGTCGTTAAAACTGCTACAGAACTTTCTGACCATCGCGATTTCCCACCAATGCAGTTTCTGACCACGAAACGGTCAACGTAAATCAAACTGCCGCAATCCCCGCCGGAACTAAAATCGCTTCCGCAATCAACTCCACTCAATCAATCCTGCCGCAATCAACACCAGTTACAGGTATCCTCCAAGACAAAACGCAGTAAAACCTACAGCAAGGGGAAGTGTTAAATACACCAACATAAGATATTACAAATGCTGTTAGATTTTACTGTAGTGTTCCTTCATAAGACAATTATCGGAGGGCCAGAATTATTGGAGTCTAGAATTATTGGAGGGTAAGAATTATTGGTGGATAGAATTATTGGTGTAGGATTATTGGTGTGGACAGGGCCCTCCTGATGGGGTGAGCTGCTAACATACATACCCTGCTCTGTCATTTCAGGAAATAAATCAATTCTATTATTCTCATTCTGCTTTCAACCATTCAGTGCAAGTCTTCCAGCCTTGCTCTTTCTACAATCTAGCTTCCGCAACGCCGGCATCATGCCTTTCTAGCACTTCGCACGTCGCACCCCGACCTCACGGCTCGGCGGGTAACCCGCGCTCCGGGCCTCCGCTTCGACATTTTCCCCAACCTCAGTCCCAGGCCCGTCGCACGACAACCACAGTCCATTACCGTTACCATTGTAGTTTCGCTATATATTCTTCGCTCATGCCTTCGTTCATTGTACTCTTGCTTAGATAGTGCAATCCTCGCTTGCTCACTCAATTGCACTCGTAACACTAATTAAAGATTGTTAAAGGAGTAAGTGTTGGTGGTTGGTGGAGTAGCAGTTTACGAATGAAGAGAAACGTGCGAACAGTTTCCGAGGCTACTTGCCGTACCGAAACGCCACACCAAGCCGCCAACCATACCAGCCGAAACTCTCGAAGCAGGGAAGAGCGACAGGGTGTCGATATGCGTCATCCAGTGACTGTGGCAGCTTCCACCAAACCAAACCAACGAGAGCGACACGCGTCGCCAGCCCCAACTTCAAAGTCAACCACCTTTGAAGCTTGCGAACGAGTTGGTTCCTTTTCGGGAAGGATACGGCGATTCTTCGCTCACCACGCAGCTACCAGTCAGCGATCGTTGCTTTGCCTCGAGAACTCCTTTTCACTGGATAAGAGCTCCAGCCATACAGAAGCTCAAGGGGCTGAAAGCACAACATAACACACCAACTAGCCTCCATAGAAGCTTGTTTGGGTGTTTTTGTTTGGTGGTCTGAAAGCCGTTGCAGCCATTGTTGAAGCAGTTCAGGGTTCTGTTTTGTAGCAGCTGGTTTCCATTATTAACCTCCATTCCATTACCACTGCATTGCTCCCTGATCAAGCCACAACTCTCGTACACACAAAGTACGCAGGGAAATAGCAAAAAATAAACCGTCTTATCTGAGACATAACAACTTCAGTTAGGGTAGCGCTTGCACGTCGTGAGGTGTGGCATATAATGGAGGAACCCTGGGAAGGAGCGGCGACTTGGGACGGACAGCCGCAAGCCCTAGAGGGGGACTTAGGCAGAGGTGCGCCTGGGAGAGTCGCCGGAATGAACAGCGGATATGGTGCAAATAATGGCATGTTGGCGCAATCGCCGATGGGCGCGCAGGGAAGAGGGGGAAGGCAGTCTCTCTCTGTAGATTATTCGAACCGAGCGTCGACTGCGCCGATGCAGGGCCGAGCGCCGTTGACGCGGCCGAACCAGTTCCCGCATATGCATGCCCCGCAACAGCAGCAACAGCAACAACAACAACAGCAACAGCAGCAGCAGCAGCAGCCTATGAAGTCGCCAGGACTCTATCCTGTCAATGTACGTTCCGCTCTAGCGTCTCAGCCTTTCTTTTCCTTCTTCCTCGCTAGAGTAAGGAATATTTTGAGCATTCTTAAGAGCCTTAAAGAGTAGAACAGGAAAGGTGCTGTTTTTTCTCTTCAATACGCTGCGCGCTTCGTATTATTTTCGTTCGCATCCTTGCACATGTTGTTCTATTGTTGTAACTCCTGAAGTTTTGCCCGTATCTTTTGCGATGGCGTGCCCCGCACACACACGTACGGGCGCGCGAACGATCCTCTGCACCCCTTCCCCCAGCACCACGTCCCCTCCTCCCTTCATACATTCGCGCGCACGCGCGTACACTTCCTCACTCGCGGTTTGGTGCTGATTCGTGCTTGTCGTTCGACTGTATTACCTACCCGGTGTGCAGGAGCATGAGGTTTCGAACGACTACTTCAGAAACTCTGGTGGCGCCGTTCCCGCGCAGCATTATCATCAACATCAGCAGCAGCAGCAGCAGCAGCAGCAGCAGCAGCAGCAGCAGCAGCAGCAGCAGCAGCAGCAGCAGCATCACCAGCAGCAGCAGCAGCACACACATCAGGCACCGCCACAATTCCAGCAGTGGCAGCAGCAGCCGCCGCAGCAGCATCACGCAGGTGGTGCGATGAACCATCAGTTTCAGCAACCGCCCATGCAGCAACCACAGCTGCAACACGCACCGATGCAGCAGACTCAGCAGCAGACACAGCAGCAGCAGATGCAGCATCGCAGAACAAGATCCGCCATGCCGGGCCAGCACGAACCCTTCACCCTCACAGACCCCCACCCCTCTCCCCACTTCCCTCCCGCGCACACCCCCACCGGCGTCAACTCACCAGCCCTCACCGCCACTGGCGGAAACTTCCCCTCACCTGTAAGCCACCCAGCTATGGCCATGCGCCCGGGGACTGGGCCTGCGGGGTACAGGCTGGGCGGGTCCGCGGGTGCGGGCGGTCCCCCTGCGCCGGCGCTGGTAGCGGCGATGCAGAACATGAGTCTGGGGAGTCCTGCCATGGGCCCGGCGCATGCACCAGGGGGGGGAAGCAGAGCGGGAGGGTTTGGCCCCGCTAGTGCTCGAGGCGGCGGCGGCGGCGGTGGGTTTGGGGGCGCTGGAGGGTTTGCTGGGCCTGGAACGCCTGTGGGGCCTGGTTCTGCTGAGGGTGTTAACGCGCAGAACCAGTGGCAATCGGGAGGAGGAGGAGGAGTGGGAGGGGGAGGGGGAGGCGGAGGGCGGTTGGGAGGAGAAGTAGTAGGCGGAGCAGTCGCGAATCAGCCTGCACCTTGGGAGCAGCCTCCTGAAGAGTCCTCCTCGTCAGACCCCCGTTTCAAGCCCAAGAAGATCCAATCCGGAGGGCACACGTGGGAGATGTTTTCCGGGCCAAGTATGAACATTCTTAGGCGGGAGGACGACGCGGACCTCACTCCGAACGAGCTCGCCACGCTCGTCGCCGCGCCCGTGCGTCCCACCGGCCGTCACAGGCGCTCCAGGTCCGCCATGCCCGTGCAGGCGCAGCTGGCGCAGCTGCGCCCGCCCTCCACGCCTGAGGGGCGCGTGCCTGGCGCGCTTAGGGCGGTGGCCGCGCTCGGCGCAGGCGGAGGCGCGGCGGGCGCGGCAGGGGGCATGACGGGCGGGGGGATTGGCGCAGGTTCAGGCGGGGGTATTGGAGCAGGGACGGGAATAGGCGGGGGGATGGGCGGAAACATGGGCGCGGGGATGGGCGCAGAGACTTTCGTGGTGGATCCGGAGCAGGAAGGGCAACAACAGGAGGAGGAGGTACCGGAGGTGGCGCCGTGGGATATGGGCAATTCCGGCCAAACCCACCAGTCAGAATCCCTGCTCGTGACGACAGAAGAGCCCGGCACAGCAAGTGGTGGCAACAGCAGCACCATGGGCAGGCCTGGGGTTCCGGGTGGAATGCGAGCGGTTGGCAGTAGCAGCAGCGCCGGGCTCAACCCGCCCTTTGATGGTGCTGCAGACGCTGGGGCTGGGGGTTTTGCTGGGAGTGGGGATGCTGCTCTCATTCGCGGTGGCGGCGGCAGTGGCGGCAGTGGTGGTGGTGGAGGTGGTGGTGGTTACAGCATACCAGGTGGTAACATGGTTAGTGGTAACGTTCATGACCTCCCTGCCCGTGCGTCCACAGCAGGAGGGCGGCCTAGTGGTAACTTCCATTTCCCAGGGCCACGTCAGCCGCAGTCGCCCTTCCCTGCACACACTCAGCAGCAGCAGCCGCAGCAGCAGCACCCGCCGCAGTATCATCATCAGCAGCAGCAGCAGCTGCAGCAGCAGGCGATGCAGGGCATGGGTACGGGGTCCAACCAGTGGACAGGGAACGCACTGGCGCCAGATCCGCGGATTGCAGCGGTATCAGGGCGGCCCCAAACGCGTACGCCCCCCGCGGGATACAAACGCACCATGAGCGGAGGGCTGGAAGGCAGCCCAGGAGGCGGCGGAGGGGGAGCAGGAGGGGGGGTCGGAGGAGGAGTGGGGGGAGGAGGGATGGGAATGGGTGCAGTGGGAGCGCCAGGGATGGGGTTTGGTATGGGGGGAGGCATGGGAGCTACTGGGGGTGGGCGTGGCCTGTCCCCTCACAGGCGTTCTCAGTCCATGAGTATTAACGGATTCACGCAAGTGCCGTCTGTTATGTCAGCACCAGTAGGCATGCCTGGGCCTGGCTCGGGCTTTGGTCCTGGCGGGCCGTCTGGCAATCGCCCTGACTTGAGGCAAGCGGGCCGGGCGTCTAGCTTCGTGGAGCAGACACACCACCAGCAACAGCAGCAGCAGGGTCAGCAGGGGCAGGTGTTTTCCCCTGCTGCCCGCCCCAGCGTTCCAGTCAGGGGAGCAAGCTTTGGTTCTGGTGGTGCTGGTGGCGTTGGGGGTGTTGGTGGTCTTCCCAGGCCGGGATCTGGGCATGGGAGCATGGGGATGGGTCAAGGCCGGCCCAGCAGCCCCCTGGTTCTCCGGCAGGGGCAGCAACAGCATCAGCAGCAGCCGCAGCCGCAGCCGCCGCAGCAGCAACAGCAGCAGTTTGCACCGAGTCCCAGACTGGGGCCTGGTGGGCCGGGAGGTGCGGGCCGAGGGGGGGCAGGCATGGCAGCAGGCGGGGGGAACAACATGGGCATGCGGATGGGGCCAGGGGCGGGGACGGGAATAGGGGGAATGGGGGGGATGGGGATGGGTCCCCCACCTGGCAGTCCCTCCGGGGGAGGGCGAGTAGGGGCGGGGTTGGCTGGTGGAATGGGGGGGAGGGGGGGAGGAATGGGGAGTGACGGGGGAGGGCGCGGGAGAGGGGGAGGGGCGGGCATGGGGGGACCTGGAATGAATTCGGGGTACCAGACGGGGGGAGTGGGGCATAGCCCGTTGGGAGGGACGGGACAGGGGAGAGGGGGAATGGGGGGACCAGGAGGGATGGGGGCAGCAGGAGGAATGGGAGGCATGGGGGGAACGGGGGGGATGGGGGGGATGGGTGCGCCTATGACTCCTGGCGCAGGGCACGTGGGCATGGGGAGGGGAGGGGCGGGAAACATGGGCGGTCCCCCCAGACCTGTGTCTGCTGGCGGTAAGATGATGTCAGGGGGAGGCGGGGGGATGGGCGGGGGAATGGGCGGGGGGATGGGCGGGGGCTTGGGCGGGGGGATGGGTGGAGGAATGGGTGGGGGAGGAGGAAGAGGAAGAGGAACAGCAGGGCAGGGTGGGGGTATGGGAGGACCAATGTTTATGGGAGGGAGAGGAGGGGCTCCTGGGAGGGGAGGCGGAATGGGGCGAGGAGGAGGAGCTCTAGCAGCAGGAGGAGCAGCAGTAGGAGCAGTAGGAGGAGGAGGAGGAGGTGGAGGGGGGTTGGGTACGGTGTTAGGAAGGCCGTATGTGGATGTGAATGAGTATTATATGCTGGAGGGGGGCGAGGTGGGGAGGGGGCGCGTGGGCAGCATCCGTGTGTGTGTGGCTCGGGACACGGGCGAGCAGTTTGCATGCAAGACGATTGCCAAGGATAGGCTCCAGGTGAGGAGAGGAGAGACGCAGGGGTTGAGAGATGTTGGGAGAGTTCAGAGCGGGGATGGTGCAGGGGTTATGATACGAGTACATCGGGTCAAGGATCGGTGGTTTGCTTCCTCTATTGATCCTCACGCCTCCTCCTTTCTCCCATCTCCCATTTCCTCCCCTTCTGCCTCTCCCCATCTCCCCCTTTCCTCTCCCTGTAATGCAGTGCGAGGAGGAGGTGGAGGACGTGCGCAAGGAGGTGGCAGTGATGGAGCGGCTGAGAGACCACCCGCATGCCGTGCAGCTCGTGGCCACGTTCGAGGACGCTCAGGTGCGGTGCGGGATGGTGCAGAGGGGTTGATGATGGTGCTGGTGGCATGTGTAGATTGTGCCCAGTTCGAGGTTGCGCAGGTTCAGGATGACAAGTGTGATGGGGGGTAATGGGCGGTGATGGGGGGTAATGGGCGGTGATGGGGGGTAATGGGCGGTGATGGGGGGTAATAGGCGATGATGGGGGGTAATGGGCGATGATGGGGGGTAATGGGCGGTAATGGGGGGTGATGGGAGGTGATGGGGGGTGATGGGCGATGATAGGGGGTAATGGGCGATGATGGGGGGTGGTGGGTGTGGTAGATGGGTGGGGATGATGGTGGCAGGAGCAGAGAAGTGCATAAAACAGTGGCTCTCTTATCCCCTCTTTTTCCTCCCTCCCTTCCCTCTCTCTCTCTCTCTCTCTCTCTCTCTCTCTCTCTCTCTCTCTCTCTCTCTCAAATGGTCCTGGTATTGATTGATGGGAGATACATGGGAAGATGCAAACACATGCAAACCCAGACATAACACTCGGTCTACCTAACTACCTCATTCCCTTACTCCCTCCCGCCCCCTCCGTCCGACCCTAAAGGTCGAACGAGGGCTCTATTAGCTGGTAGAGCTGGCCTTAGCTAAGGGGGGCAAAGGGGCCCCGCATGCCGAGCTCGTCCGCTGCTATCGCCTCGTTGGTCTTGCAGCGGAGGGCGTTGGCTTGTGCTTTTTGGAGGCACACGCTCCAGCGCTGGCAGTATTCCGTCAGCAGCTTGGCGGCCTCGTAGGAGTTGGGGGCTGCGTTGAATCGCAACTTGGCCGCCAGCTCCGCGCACTGCCGCAAGAATGCCAACACCCCGGGCGAGGGGTACCCATATGTCTCTACCGCTAGGGCATGAAAGCCCACCCACGCATTTCGGCGCGCGTATTTCTGCTCCTTCTTGTCCGCAGCTGCCCCAGCCGCCCACCCCGGTGCTCTATTGCAGTTCTCATCTTGGTGAGAAACGGGGTCCGTCACTGTCACGTCGCACATCCAAACCTCTCCCGTGCGAGGATGGCGGATTGCGACGCCCGCCTTCAGGTTTTCAACGAGAGAGAATACATAGGTTTCTTTGTGCACCGTGAATCCCGCCTCTGCCGCAATCAAAGCAATCTCGTCCCTGAGCGCATGGTGAGTCGCAATCCTTCCCCCCCTTTTCTCGCAGCGCATGAGATGGTTTGGGAGGCGGTCATCAGGGAATTTGGTGCGGTAGCGGCAGTCGCAGCGCCTGGGGACAGGTAGGGGGAGGCCCAGGCGGAACGCAGCAGCGGAGGAGAGCTGGGAGGGTCCCATCCTAAGCGAGGGTATGATGGGTAGTGCCAGCAGCCAATCTCCCGCACCAGGGCCGAGCACCGACTGCATTCTCTGGGCATGGCCAGAGAGGGGGTTGGGGCGCATCCGCCTTGCCTCGTTCATGACCCTCAGGAAGCGGCGTGTCTGAACCGCCAGCGCTAGAGACTGCTGCAGCTTGAGGCCCTGTGGCTCTGCTTTCCCGGCCTGGAGAGCTTCTAGAGCCTCGGGGGGGAGGGCTGCTTCCGCTGCTGCAAGGCGTGCAGGCAGGGCGTGCGCGGAGCCGGAGGTGGGGTCCATTAGGGGGAGGAGGGCGGCTACATCTGGGTGGAGTGCCTCGGCCAGGGAGTGCAGTAAGTGGGAGGTGCCCACCACCGACGCAAGGTACGCATAGCTCCCTTCAACTGCAGGATTTGTAATGCCAAGCCCCCCCAATGTTACGGGCAGCGCCGCTTGCCTCCAGATTCTCCTCTGTTCCGCGTCACTCCTTGGCAGCATGATATGTGCCGCGTCCAGGAAGGTATGCAGCAGTTGCTCCCCCCATGCTGCCCATTCATTCTCAGGTAGTGCCTCTAGCGGAGTGGTTCTGGCCAGGAAGGATGCTCGCCGGCCCACGCAGCGGGTGAGAAGCAGCAGGCACAATTGGGGGTCCATTTGGGCCAGGAGCGGCAAGGGTTCTGCTGCTGATGCAAGCCTTTCCCTTACTCTGGCGGCACAGCCATCTGAGGTCCCGATTGGGCTTCCTAATATCCGCAGTCCGTCTGCTGCAATGGGGAAGCTCGGAGGGAGAGAGGCGGGGTCTATGGCGGTTGCAGACCAAGCCTCACACTTACCAAGGTTGTGCTCGAGGCCTATGTGGATCAGTGCGGCAGTGAGGTGTGTAAATGCCGCCGTGCACGCTTCTGCTTCGCCTAGCAGCGTTATGTCGTCTGCATAGGCGAGAATGACGACCCTTGGGTGAGCTAGTGCCGTTGCGGTAAGGTGTGGGTGGATGCTTGCTGCAAAGAGCAAGGGGCCAAGAGGGTCCCCCTGGCGGACGCCTCTAGCACTTAGCAGTGGAGCCACGCCGAAGTCATGGTCGAGGTGGAGTGCTGAGGAAGTTCCGTAGGAGAGGCGGACAAGGGGCAGAAGGCTTTCAAGGGACTCGTTCTTGAGCCCCTCGAATACCGCCGCCCTTTCCACCGCGTTAAACGCGTTGGCGAGGTCAATCTGCAGCGCCACCGAGCCCGGGCTCTCCTCCAGGTATGTGCGCGCAGTGTGAATGGCCGCCTCAATCCCTCTAGCCACTGCTACCCCGAACTGTAGTGGCGCGAAGTGTGATCGTGCCGCCACCCCAGTCAGGAACAATGCTGCCTTGGCCACTATGCGAAGAAGGCATTCGCCCACGGCTATCGGTCGGGTCCCCCCCTGCGGTCTGGTGAAGGCCAAGAGCCGTGAGGCTGTGAGGAGCTCGGTGGCCTCGCTGCTGAGTTTCCCGGCTATAGCTGTATTGGTAAGTGCGAGGAGATGGGCGAAGATGTCTGGATTTCCGAGTGCAGCATCGCGTATGTGCTCGAAGGTTGTGCCTGAGGGCCCTACTCCCACCCCGTTTGGGAGTTTGGCTACGATGCGCCTGAAGTAGCGCAACTCTATCGAAGGGGTTTTCTCGGGGGAGAAGGTGCGTATCCATTCTGGTAAGGGCTGGAGTGCTTGCGGGTGTCGTGCTGCTAATGCCGCGTACACTTCGGAGGAGGCAGGTGAGATCGGAGTGGCTTGGAGGGACTGTAGTGACTTGGCCAGGTTACCACGCTTGGCCAGTCCCTCCGCTCTAGCAAGGATGCCCTGAGTGTCAGGTACGTGACGTGGCTGGGCAGGGAGGGAAATTGCTTCAATTGCCTCGTCGTACAGGCCAGACCAGAGTCCCTGGCGGAAACGGAGGAGGCGATTCATCATCGCGTTCCAGTCTAGTTTGCGAGCTGACGAGGTGCGTAGGAGGATTCGCAGGAGGAAAGTCAGTAACCTCCACCCCGCGGTCGAGTTGGGATTGGCTGCTAGGTGGAGTAGTGGGGTGAGTAGGCAGACTGCGAATGATTCGCGAAGGTCTTTTGGCGGGTGACGGGCGAGGGGGGGCTGGCGACTGTCGCGCAGTGGGTCCTGGTCCCAGCCTGCGACTTGCGCGAAAAGGTCCAGTCGTTTCCCCAAGTCGCCTGGGTGGATCATTGGTGGGGTTGGAGTTGGGGTTGGGGTGTTCCTATTGGTTGCGGCAGAGTCAAATGTGATTTCTGCCGCGGTCCGATTTCCCCTCCAGGCCTGATTTCCCCCCACATTCCGATTCCTGGCTGGGGTTCGTGTTGCAGACGCGGCTCCAATTTGTTGGTCCGGGAACTCAGCCCCACGAACCAAGAGCTCCTCATCATCTTCATCAGCTTCAGCATCCAAACCTCCCTCCGTTTCGGGGTTAAAACCTGGGTCACCCTCGTCACTCTCGTCATTCTCCGATTCACCACTCTCCCCCCTGCTAGCGGCTTCCTCGCCGCCTTCCGCGCCTTCCCGGAGTAGTCGTTCTGCTGTCCTCGCATAGCCGCTCGCGCCTGTACGTCGGCCTCCTCTCCTCCCAGCTCCTCTTCCTCGGCGTCCTCTCCCGCCTACGCGTCGTCCGCCAGGTGTGCCACTCCTCGCGATTGGGCTGTGCATTACAGGCGTGCGGTTTTCGCCGATCTCCTCCCCTGCCAAGCGGGGCTCTGGCGTCCTCGGCTCACGCCTCGGTCGTGATGGCGGGGTCCGTGGGTCGCGACCGCGCCTTGGAAGCAACCGCGGAGAGCGCTCAGCTTGTTGCGCAGCCAAACCCCGAGTATGCGCCTCCGCGTTCCCAAGTGCAGGCTCGTCCTGCTGCGTCGGCGCCCGTGCGCCGTCTTGAGCGCGGGTTGTCTCTTCCGCTGCGCGGGGCGGATCGTCACGCGTCTCCTGAGCAATCCCGTGCTCCCCTAGTCGTCGCGTCGAATGCCTTGCCGGCGTGTCAGGAGCGGGGCCGGTCCCCGCCGCCTCGTGGATATCGACCCGCGTCCCCTGCGCGTCGCGCCCCCGAGCCGCATGACTCTCGGCGGCGATGGGACGAATATCAGCGGGAAATTCAGCATCGCGACCGCCGCTACCGCTCTTCTGAGAGGTCGCCGGAGAAGCGCTCCCCGCGGGAGCGGTCCTCTTCGCAGCGGACGCCGCGGCCGTCGCCTCCGCGTCGGGGCCGCGGGGCTCATGCGGGCCGTTGGGATTCTCGCCGCCGTGAGCAGTCCCCGCCCCGTCCTCAGTCGGCTGGGTCTGGAGGGCGTCGTGGGCGGCGGAATGGTTATGCGCGCGGCGGGGGTAGTCGTGGCCAGGGCTCCACTGCTGACCGCGCGGGGAATATGGTGGCGGATGCAATGCGGGAGGTGGAAGCGTCGGGGGCAGCGGCTCACGCTCACGTGTCTGTGACCACTGAGCCCCCCACCGCACCTGTTGCGGTTGAAGCCGCTCCGCTGCGCGCTCCGACCTTGCGGGAGTATCTGCCAGCTGCAGCGGCGAGGGGGCCGTTCCGCGGACGCCGCCAAGCCCCAGGTTACCCTGCTCCTCAGAATACGGTTGGCCAGACTCCGGGCCAGGTGGGGGTGTTTCTGCCGCACGGAGTTCCGACTGCGCCTCTCCCCAGCCGCGCGGGGAGAGATCCCACGCTGAGCATGTGCCGGATGTGGAATTTGGCGGGGGCGGCTGAGGGGCTGGCGAGCCTGCAGCTGGCGGCGTGTGAGGCCATGCGTCACACACCGAGCAGTTTTGCTCAAGGGCCCCAAGGACAGTGCGTCGCTTGGGCAGGAGAGATTGTCCCCCTTTTATCGCCCGTGTCGGATGCGCCCGCCGGGGTAGCACCCTTAGCCCGTACCTTCCCCCGCCTCGCTCTTGATCTTCACGCTGCGGCTCAGCACGGGACCCCTGTTGACACTCTTCGCTTCTCGGCGGAGCTTCTCCACTCGATGGCGGGGTGTCTTCTCGCGATGCTTGAGGCGGAGGGGGCTGGCCTGTACACGCAGTAGAGCGGCGTCTCGTGTAGTATTGCATCTTGATCGTAAGGTGATGCTCTCTAGTTGCTTGATTTCTTCCTTCTTGGAATGCCTTGCTTGATCAACTCCTTGTGTGAGTGTCTTGCCTCTGAAACGCGCGGCCGAAGGCCGCGCTGGCGAGCAGCGGCGGCCGAAGGCCGCCGGCGCGAGCCGTGGAAAACTGAGAACACACGAAATAATGAGGAGAAGAAGGCACCAAGGGCCCTTAAATAGGCTCAGAGGAAGAGGGCCGAGGGAAGAGGAAGAGGGCTGGGTGCTAAGTCCTCTCTCTCTCTCGCTCTCTCCAGCCGTGGAAAACTGAGAACACACGAAATAATGAGGAGAAGAAGGCACCAAGGGCCCTTAAATAGGCTCAGAGGAAGAGGGCCGAGGGAAGAGGAAGAGGGCTGGGTGCTAAGTCCTCTCTCTCTCTCGCTCTCTCCAGCCGTGGAAAACTGAGAACACACGAAATAATGAGGAGAAGAAGGCACCAAGGGCCCTTAAATAGGCTCAGAGGAAGAGGGCCGAGGGAAGAGGAAGAGGGCTGGGTGCTAAGTCCTCTCTCTCTCTCTCTCTCTCTCTCTCTCTCTCTCTCTCTCTCTCTCTCTCTCTCTCTCTCTCTCTCTCTCTCTCTCTCTCTCCGTCCAAAACGTCTTCTGTCTCTTTATCGCCTCCACTCCCCCTCCCCCATTTCTCCCTTCAAACCAGATCGTGCACCTGGTGATGCAGCCGCGCGCGGGCGGAGAGCTGTGAAAGTGCATATATCCAATGTATCTTACTCTCCCCCAACTCTTCCCTCCCTCAACTCCGTCCAATCTTGTATTTCCCAACCCCCCCAATGTCGGACCAGAGTGTGCATTTATCTGGTGATGCAGCTGTGTGCAGGCTGAGAGCTGTGGGAGCACATCAACCAGTCCCTCTCTCAAACCCCCTTTTCTCTTCCCTCCCTCTCCTCCCTCGACTCCTTCCGTCCCTCAATCTCCCCCCATCTCCTCCCCCCACTTCAACCCCAGAGCGTGCATCTGGTGATGGAGCTGTGTGCGGGCGGGGAGCTCTGGGAGCGCATCAAGCAGCGGCGGTGGTACGACGAGGGCAGTGCGGCGGCGGTGCTGCGCGTGGTGGTGGAGCTGCTGCGCGACTGCCATGCCATCGGGGTCATGCACCGCGACCTCAAGCCCGAGAACATCCTGCTCTGCACCGAGGAGAACGACGTTGACGTCAAGGTCATTGACTTTGGCGTCGCCGTCTTCTTTAAGCCTGGTGGGTTGGGTTGGCGTGGGGGGTGACTGGGATGGGATGGGATGGGATGGGATGGGATGGGGGAGATTCTGTGGTAATGTAGGAAGGGAGAGTCCTGCTGTGCACCAAGGAGAACGACGTTGATGTGAAGGCCATTGACTTCGGCATCGCCGTGTTCTTCAAGGGACGGTAACGTGGGGTGGTGGCGTGGGTTAGAAGGGAGGAAGGAGAGTGGAGGTGGAGATGGGGAATGTTTTTTTGGTTCTGATTCAGGGCGGGTTCTGAAAGTTTGTTATCAGTTCATGCATATTATAGGGCTCAGCCACTTGCGCGGAACGATAAGTGATTTTCCTCCCCGCCCTTCAACTATCATGTCACCATCCCATCCCCGCTTTTCCCCATTCCCTCATGTGCATGCCTCAGGGGACGTGTACTCAGACATTGTCTGCAGCCCTCTGTACTTGGAGCCTGAGGTTCTGCATGAGACGCCTCAACAGCCATCTCGTCACCACCTCATTCCCACTCCCCCCCTCATCCCCTCATGTGCATACCTCAGGCGATGTGTACTCAGACATTGTCGGCAGCCCTCTGTACATCGCGCCCGAGGTTCTGCACGAGGCGTACGGGCCAGAGTCCGACATATGGAGCGCAGGAGTGATTCTGTACGTGCTGTTGGCGGGTGTGCCTCCCTTCCGCGGGGACAGCGACGAGGCCGTGTTCCAGGCGATTCTCGAGCAAGAGCCGGACCTGCAGCGCGCCCCCTGGCCTGATGTTTCGGATGAGGGCAAGGATCTGGTGCTGCGCATGCTGACGAAGGACCCTGCCCTGCGAATCACGGCTGATGATGTTCTTGGTGAGTGTGTTGTGGAGGCTGAGTTGGGGTGTGGAACTAAGCCTGTGCTGTGCTGGTTGGGGAGGGAACTTGTTATTGAAGGTGCAGCCTGTTTGGGTGCCTATGTGCTGATTCATAGTAAGGTTATAGATTGCCTCTGTTCTTCCTTCCCCAATACATTTTTGCTCCGATTAAACTCTCATCCACTTTCTGGTCTCCTCCCTGTGCCTGTTTGTGGACCAGACCACCCGTGGCTGAGCATGTAACATCGACACCATCTAATGTGGTAGCTGTTGAATCCGAACACTAACTAGATCTAGTTCTAGCATGTTTGTGCTCGATGTGATGTAGATCGTATCTGGACACATGCCATTGAACAGGCTGATAAATTACATTACATGTAATGCACTGCAACAAAGCCCAAATTACCGTATGTTATTAAAGAATGGAAGTGTGCACAGACTTTTCATGGTTAACTGGGCCTGTAAGGACTGAAGATAGGATGCCTGTAAATAGGTAGTTGGTGATAGTAGCAATTTGCAGAAAATGTGTAGTCCTATGGGAAAAGCAACACATGGCTTCTGGCATGACAAAGTACAGTGCAGCAATGTACACTGTACAAGCTTGTCAGAGATTCCATCCACAGGGTCGGTTTGTGGAGCAAGAATATTCTCGAGCCTCTCATCTCATTTCCCCAGGTGAAGCCCTGCAAGTGTACGAGCTGGTGAAGGTAGTTGAGGTTGCGGACCCAATTCGGAAATGGAGGTGGTTCAAAATTTGGAACAGAATCGATTTTTTTTTTTTTTTTTTTCGGCAACCTGGAAAGAAGAAATGCCGACGTGGAACGCGAGCCCCTCCATGTGGGCTGGGGACAGCCCCTTAGTGGTGCAAGGGTCACAGCCACGTACTCAACACATGAGATTCGGCTGACTTGTCACCATGTCGACGGCTGTCTCGATGGCTCAGCAGCCACATTGTCTAATCAGAATGAAGTAAAATTTGCGGTGACCTCTAGCCTTCGCGGCCCGTGTTGCATCAGCACGATTCCTTCCTGAGAGCCTTCTGGCCTTATCCAAAGGCTTCCATTGGTTATCCAGATCGCTACCTGCCCGATGTTGTGTGCTTCCCAAAATCCCACAGTCGAAGCCGTGTATGGGGAACCAGAGCAAATCCTCTCTCTCTGCGCTTGCTCATCCCCCTAACTCGCAATGCCGCGTGATGTCCGCCACCACATTCCGCGTCGGAACCATCCAAGGTTTCCGATTGGCCTTCAAACATTCGACCTTCGTTGCGGCCTTGAAGCACTCGACCACGTGGCAACCCTCGGAAGGTTCTGCTTGCAGATTGGCTTCCACCAGCTTTCCGCGGCTGCGATATTCGGGGGAAGCGGAATCTCTTTCCCTTCTTCCCCTTCCCCTCGTTCTCTGCAACACAGTGTAGCTCCCAGAAAGCTACAGTGTCTCCAGAGAATTCCTTCCCTTAGGTTCTGTAGATTAGCTGCCTATACCCCCTCCATCAATCTTCCTCCTTTCTCACTTTGCTTCTTGGAAGCAGCAGTAATTTTGTTCGTTGGAAACGGCGACTTCTAGGCGCTTCCTCAGCCGTATCCTCCCGCGCGTTGGAGGGCAGTTTCAAAACTTGTTCGCCTCGCCGTCCCAACCTCAGATTACGGTCCTTCCGCAGCCAGCTAACGTCCACGTGCAGCCGTTTCTCTCACGACTTCATCGTCTGCTCGCTCTCGGTTTCTCCACCGATTCGAGATCTCGCATATCATCGCACGAAGGAACTATTAATCAACGATCCACAATGTCGCCGACTGAAGAGATGATGTCGAAGGTCCACGAGCTGGATCCGCATCTGTCGGTTCACGACGCGTTGGAGCAGGTCAATGTTAAGGTCGGCGATGACGATATCCTCGTGGAGGACGAGGAGTTGCTTCTGGATTGCTTCCTCGGAATGCTGAAGGAGCTCGAGGAGAATGAGCTCGCCGAAGCTGTGAGTTTATTCTTATCATTCAGTCACGCTCACATTATTGAGAAATCTTACCAGTCCGCGATCACAATTGAGTTGACGGGCGGAATGCACATGCGGAACGACAAATTACAATTCTGGGTGCGTAAGCGTGTAACTGGTAGCCTAGTTATCGTCATTTCCCTGGATCCGAAGATGTGTTGTCTATATTTACCTGATTCTTTTTCGTGCATTAAAAATTTTCAGATACCTTGGATTACTTCCATTTATTTGTCGGCAACAATTAACATTCATTAATCCTTCAATGATATGTGTTCTTGCAGGTCCAAACATGTCTGGGTCTGTCGTCCCAGTACAACGCGAGCAACGACCCTGAGGATCTTAGGAAGCTAGAGGAGGTGGTCGACTCCCTTGACCCGGCTGAGTCTATTCTCTTCGCTTCCGCCTTCTCCCACATGCTCACGCTGGGAAATATTGCGGGTAGGCATCTTACGCCTGCGTTTGTCTCATTCCCGACACTATTTAATTTCTCGGGTGTTCTTGATTGCTTGCTCACATTTTTATATCTCTATGTTCCTCCTGCTTCGACCTTAACCGTTTCTGGTGTTCTGAATCATTGCATTTACCCTTACTATTTCATTCTGTCCTGAGCAGAGGAGATTCAGATGGCTCATCGTGCGCGGAAGAGCAAGGTCGGGTCCATTGAGGAGGAAGGCAGTGCGCTTACCGAGTCCAACATAACGGAGACGTTCCAGAAGCTGATCAAGCTGGGCAAGACGCCTGAGGAGATCTTCGAGGGTCTGAAGCAGCAGCGCGTGGACCTCGTGCTCACCGCTCACCCGACACAGTCCATCCGCCGCTCCCTGCTGCAGAAGCACGCCCGGTATGCGCCCGGTTTCAGTCTCTCGACTTGTAATCGTGTTTGTTTGTTTGATTGATTAATTGTTTCTTTTCTCTTTGGGATCTTCAATCTCCTGCACGCATATGCGACGAGGATTGAATCATTGTCCCGTGTTTGGGTTAACTCGTTGTAGGATGAGCAGTTGATCTACGGCACTTTGTCCGCATTTGGTTCAGTAATAGGTCGACGGACCATGTAGATTAAACCCCTAAAACTTCTCACCAATATTCCCGTGCTCGCCTTCTACCCTGTGGCCAGAATTCGCACCCTGCTGTCTCAGCGGCACGCCCAGAAGTACACCAAGGAGAGGCAGCAGGAGCTCGTGGAGGCTCTCAAACGGGAGGTGCGTAGGCCCTATTCGACCGTTGCGTCCGAAACTCTTGAAGAACACGGTTTCTGCCCTTTCTCAACGCCCATCTCTATGGCTGATTCCTCTCCGTTCAACCGTTTCTCATTTCTGCTCCCCCTCAATGACGGCAAGAACAGATCCAAGCGGCATGGCGCACGGACGAGATCCGGCGCACGCAACCGACGCCGCAGGACGAGATGCGCGCGGGGATGAGTTACTTCTACGAGACCATCTGGAAGGGCCTTCCCGAGTTCCTGCGCCGCGTCGACACCGCCCTGCGCAGCATCGGCATCGAGGAACGCCTGCCGTACAACATCCCCATCATCCAGTTCTCGTCCTGGATGGGCGGCGACAGGGACGGTGAGTGAATTGGTTTCCTTTCCGCCTTTTTCCTCTCTTTGAGATGAGGGTAAATGCGTATGAACTCCAAGAACGGGGGGCTAGCGGAACAGTAGAAAGACTGGGATTGGCAGTCTATGTTCTCCTGCTCTCAGCGACACGCACAGAACTACCTGCTAACCTTTTCACGCGTGTGTTGAATTCGAAGGATTCTCGCAACGGAGTGTAGGCTCAATCTCCCCACTCTTCGCTGCTCACCTGGCCAAACCTCGCCGTTTTCTTTCCTCGCTTCGCATGATTCGATCTTCCTAACCTGCAGGCAACCCCCGTGTGACGGCATCCGTGACGCGTGATGTGGTGCTGCTGTCGCGTCTCATGGTCGTCAACCTCTACATCTCGCAGATCGAGGAACTCCTCTTCGCGGTACGCACCTATCCATTCCTCCTTAGGGGCCATATGCCATCCCCTGTCATGTGTCCCTCTCCGTTTCACCCTAGCGCCAGTTTGTTTTCCCTTTTACGTCTCGTCTGGTTTCGTCTATTCCTTCGCATCCCAGATTATTCCCTAAACATCGCTGCTTCCCCGCCGCTGCTGGCTCTCTCTCCGCTTCTCTTCTGCGTTCCCCTCTGCGCGTCCTTGCGTGTCCTTCGTCGCTCCACAGATGTCCATGTGGCGTGGAAGCGACGAGCTCAAGGAGAGGGCTCAGGCAGTACAGGCAGGGGCAAAGAAGCACAGCAACCACTACATTGGTGAGTTAATACACCACTGGCAATGAGTCACACCACTGGCAACCGCAAGTGACTGATTTTAAGCAGTCCTTGTCGCTCTTATACCCTCCCATCCTTGCCCATTTTCGTTCGTTTTTTCTCCCCGCCCCCCCACTTTCCTTCTCAGGTCACTTCTCCGTCGTTTCTCTTTGTGCCGCTTGAACCCTGAACCTCGCCACGTAATGTGTGAATTGAGTATGCTTTTCCTCGCCTGCCTTTCACCTCACCCATGTCTCCCAACCCTATCTGTGCTCTGCAGAGTTCTGGAAGCAGGTGCCGGGCAACGAGCCATACCGTGTGGTGCTGTGCGAGGTGCGCGATCGCCTGTGGAACACTCGCGACCACTACCAGCAGCTCATGGTGTCCGGTCACTCTACCTTCAGCACTGAAGACATCTACACCTCCGCCTCCCAGGTACGCTGCTACCTCTTGTCTAGGGTGGGTCCCTCTGCGCCCCTTTGCTTTCCCCTCTGCGTCCCTATGCTTCTCTCTTTCTTACTCTTCACCCTCTCCCTCTTCTCGCTACCTGTTCCCTTCCTCTCACTCAATCCCCATCTCCATCTCTCCCTCTATTCCCCCCTACCTCCCTCCTCTCCGCCCTCTCCCTCCATTACCTTCCTTCCCCAACTCCCCTGGTCGGAACCATCGCATAGGCCCAGCTCCCCGAATTCCAGTTTTTTAGGCGCTTCATTCCCCCCCCCCCCCCCCCCCGACTCCCTCGATTCCTCCCACCTCCCTCTCTCCCCCTTCCCTGCCAGCTGATAGGGCCGCCAGAGCTCTGCCACCGCTCCCTGCACGCCTCCCGGAGCAATCGCAGAGGGCAAGCTCCTCGACTTCCGACTTCTGAGGCGCCTCACTGAAATATCTCTTCGTCCCTCCCTCCCCACCAGCTGATGGAGCCGCTGGAGCTCTGCTACCGCTCCCTGCATGCCTCCCTGGACGGCGCCATCGCAGAGGGCCAGCTCCTCGATTTCCTGCGGCAGGTCGCCTGCTTCGGTCTCTCCCTCGTCAAACTCGACATTCGCCAAGAGTCTGACCGCCACACAGATGCTGTAGACACCATCACGCAGCACCTGGGGCTGGGGAGCTTCAAGGAGTGGAGCGAGGAGAAGAAGGTGGAGTGGCTGGTGTCTGAGCTGCAGAACAAGCGGCCTCTCTTTGGCCCGGACATGCCTATGTCGGACGAGGTCCGCGAGGTGATCTCGACGCTCCATGTAATTGCAGAGCTCCCGGAGGACTCTCTATCAGCGTATATCATTTCCATGGCGACGTCTGTGTCGCACGTGCTGGAGGTGCAGCTGCTGCAGAAGGCGTGCGGGGTGACTCCCGCCCGGCGCGTCGTGCCGCTGTTTGAGCGCCTGGACGATCTGAATAACGCGCCTATTGTCCTTGACGCGCTCCTCAGCATCCCCTACTACAAGGAGATTATCAACGGCCGTCAGGAGGTCATGATTGGCTACTCCGACTCAGGGAAGGACGCCGGGCGTCTGGCTGCCGCCTGGGCTCTGTACAAGGCCCAGGCGAGCCTGGTGGAGGTGGCAGGGAAGCACGGGGTGCATCTGACGATTTTCCACGGCCGCGGTGGGACTGTGGGTCGTGGTGGAGGCCCCACGCATCTGGCTATTCTGTCGCAGCCGCCTGGGTCTGTGGACGGGTCGCTGAGGGTGACGGTGCAGGGAGAGGTCATTGAGCAATCGTTTGGCGAGGAGAACCTGTGCTTCCGTACTCTGCAGCGCTTCACTTCTGGTGAGCTGATTGGAAGGGGAAGGGGGAGGGGGAGGGGGGGGGGGGGGATTGGGGTTTAGGGAGAGGGTTTTGAGGTAGTCTACGGTTGGTGTTCATTCAACGGTGAGAAGTATGAAGTGGGGGATGACAGGTTGTTGGTTTGGTTTGTGACTGACATAGTGGCGTTTCCATTTTCCATGTGTCCTCCCTCTCAACACCCGGCCGCCCTGCGCTAAGCTTCCACCTCACCTCCTTTCTCCTTGCCTCTTCTGGCTCTCACCTACCCCACTCCATTTCTATCTATCGGTGTCCCTTAATCTGTCCATTCTCTGTGTGTGCGTCCCTTCCTACTTGTTTTCTCTGTCCAGCCACTCTGGAACACGGCATGCATCCCCCAGTGTCGCCCAAGCCCGAGTGGATTGCACTCATGGACGAGATGTCACCGCTCTCGACCGAGGAGTACCGCTCCATTGTCTTCAAGCATCCGCGATTCGTTGAATACTTCCGATCCGTGAGTTCCGCTTCCCGCCTCGGTCACTCACATCCACATCCTCTCGTCCACTCGCTCTCGCTCTCCTCTCTCCATCTCCTCGCCCCCCCTCTCCTCTCCCTCGTCCTCTTGTCTTCCACGCGCATCACCAATTGAACCTGTCCTTTCGTCCTCGCTGTACACCCCCTCACCCTCCCCCACCAGGTGACCCCGGAGACTGAGTTTTCCCGCATGAACATTGGCAGCCGCCCATCCAAGCGCAAGCCTGGTGGCGGTGTGGAGACCCTGCGCGCCATTCCCTGGATCTTCGCCTGGACACAGGTACTGCTTCCAGTCTCTTTGTGAGGTTCCTCATATATAGACGCCTGGACACACACACACACACACTGCTTCCTTTGTGAGGTGAATGGAAGCCTCATTTTCGGAATGCCTTGCAACCTCAGCATTTTGGGGGTGCCCCCATCCGGGTTCCCTCAGGCTCGTTTCCCCCCAAAACCACTCGAGCACTTGCACACACATGCGCACCAACATGCCCATGCACACACACTCTGGGCCAACATCTGCACAGATGCATGCAACCGCACGTGCACACACCCACACCTCATAGCACCTAACCTGACACCTCCCCCCACCCACACACCCCAACCCCCGCAGACGCGCTTCCATCTCCCAGTCTGGCTTGGTCTGTCAGCGGCCTTCCGCGGTGTGCTGGAGAGCAACCCCAAGAACCTGGAGACGCTGCGCGACATGTACCAGAACTGGCCCTTCTTCCGCGTCACCATTGACCTCGTGGAAATGGTGTTCGCCAAGGGTGACCCCCGCGTTGCTGCGCTCTACGAGAAGGAGCTTGCGAACCCCGAGCTGCACGAGTTTGGGGTGGAGCTGCGCCGCAAGTATGAGGAGGCCCGCGAGCAGATCCTTAAGGTGAGAGCCTGGGGACGATGGCGAGGATTAGAGAAGTGGAGGCATACGAAGGAGGGAAAGTGGAGGGAGGAGGGGTTTGAGATTAGGGAAGAGACTCTAGGAAAGATGTCTCAATGTGTCCTCATTTTTGTTGCGCTTTTCTTCATCTGTGAGCAGATTACCGGTCGCTCAGTGGTGCTGGAAGGAAACGCACCCCTGCGCCAGCGCCTGCTTATCCGAGAGCCATACATCACACCGCTCAACGTGCAGCAAGTTCTCACGCTCAAGCGCATGCGCTCGGGCGCCCATGCCTCTGCCGATGCTAACGGCCTGGCAATGGCACGCACCAGCAGCGGGAGCAGCAGCGGAGGCGGTTCCATGAAGTACAATAAGTCTTCTGAAGTTGTGACTCTGAATTCGGCCTCGGAATATGCGCCTGGCCTGGAGGATACGCTGATTATCACCATGAAGGGAATTGCAGCTGGCATGCAGAACACTGGTTAGGTGCTTACTGGTCTTGGTCGACAGTCTTGGTTCCTTGTTACTTCCGTAAGCTTGGGTATTTAAGCCTAGTGGCTGTAGACCTCGTAACCACCTAGTGCCATCACTCTTGTGTCCATGTTTTGTGGTGGAGACCATGCAGTGCTTTCATCTGACTTGGGTGTGCAACAGTGAAAAAAGCTTGTATGATGCACATCACACCGTAGCATGTCCTATGCAAAGACTGTCCAAATGTACTCCCAAAACCTTGGAAGATTGAACTTGCTTCACCTCATACGTTTGAGGGATCCTTGATAACTGAGGAAACTGCAAACGCTAAACAATGGATGCAGTACCGTAACATTCTGAAGAATGCTAACAATATAGCGGAGTATAAAGCCCCGTCGAGCTTTTTTCACGAATATACCCTTGTTTGTTTTATTCTTTTTTCTGGAAGAGCCAGCCCACTAAAATCTACCCACTTGTTTTGTACTCTCAGTTAATCAGTGTCGGTATGTTTCAGGCGTTTGGGTGCCAGGCTCCACTTCGTCATACAGGAGGACTGCAATAGCGAGGTACTTACATCCCCGATGTCCATCAATACAGAATCTCTCGGCTTGCCAAGTCACAACAACCCAGGTGATATCAGAATCTAGTGTCTCCTCCTGAGAGTCCAGTCGCACAGCTGAAGCACCGAGTCTCTGATATCCTCTCCTCACAATCACGCCATGGTATTGGCAGCGCTTACCCCGCTCGTTCGCCCTGTGTCCGCAATGCTGCGCTGCGCGCCCGCGAGGCGCCATTCCGCCTTCTTCGGCGCCGCGGTGCCCGCGGCTTCCGCCGCTCCGGCGCGTTTCTCCCGCCGACCCGCCGCGACTCCCGCCGTTGCGTCCGTCGCGCGGTCAGAGTCAGAGCCAACGCCCAATGCGCCGCAGTCGCGCGCAAGCGGGTCGAAGAATCTTCTCGACGCGCACAACCAGCGCAGTCAGGCTAACAGCCGCACGCTCACCACGCGTGCTGCCGCGTCGCAGGGGGAGGTCGTTGCTGGCGCAGGTACTTATCACAGTGCCAACATTTTCTGGCGCCATCTGGTATTTATCTAGCGTTTCCTGGCGCCGGCATTCTTCTGGGACAGGCATTTTCTTGAGCCGGTATCTTCTGGTGAAGAAATCCCGGCGGTACCTACTAGGGGGAACGGGCGTGGTGATTCCAAACGGTCACTTTTTTTTGTGCGATGTTGCTCGCACATTCTAGTTAGTGAGGCGCGCTAGCGCTTACAAAGAATCGTCTCAGTACGGACGGATGGATGTCGCTTTGTTACATTGGCCGTTGGTTCAATTCAACTCAGTATGGGAGCGTGTACGCCCTCCCTCAGGTGTTCCTCAAATCAGATTTCCGCCTGAATTTCAAAAGAGGGCAATCTCATGTGTAATAATTATAATAATTATATATTTCCCGCATTACCACTGAATCCTCCCCAAACTGCCCGTGCAGTTGCGTCCATCCACACAATGGGGCTTTCTGGGCCTAGTCATCATGGGCAGCGCCATGGCGCGCAACGCTCCCGCAGCCCCCCTCCCCACATCTTCCCCCTTCCCCATTCCCCTTTCCCCCTCCCTCCCCTTTGTGCACTCCCAATGCGCATTTGCGCCCCCACGATCGGCTTCCTGGGCCTGGGCATCATGGGCAGCGCCATGGCGCTGCAACGTCAGCCATCTTCCCCCTCCCCTTTCCCCTTCCCCTTTCCGCTTCCCCCGCTCCCCCCGTGATTCCCGTGCAGTAGCGTCCATCCCCACGATCGGCTTCCTGGGCCTGGGCATCATGGGCAGCGCCATGGCGCTGCGGCTGGTGAGGTCGGGCTACCGGGTGACGGTGTGGAACCGCAGCCCCAAGAAGACCCGCCCGCTTGTCGAGGCCGGTGCAGTGTGCGTGCAGTGGGGTGGGATGCGGTGTAGCGCGGTGGGGTTGGTTGTCAGGGACTTGGGGAATGGTGGTTGTGTTGGGTGGGGCTCAATCTCATGGGGTGGCTGGTGAGGTCGGGCTACCGGGTGACGGTGTGGAACCGCAGCCCCAAGAAGACCCGCCCGCTTGTCGAGGCCGGTGCAGTGTGCGTGCAGTGGGATAGAGTGGGGTGGTGTAGGAGGAGAGGAGGGTTGAAGTGTGCGCGTGAGAGCGATGGTGGTGGTTGTCTTATTGTGAGGCCTGTCGCGTGTTTGTGTGAGTATGTCTGTGGTCCAGACTCCGCACATGTCAGTGCTACGAGCATTGACCACTGCAAAACACTCTTACTAACCTCCTCCTCTTGCTCGCTCTCCTCCCCTTCTCCTCCCTCCCTTCCCCCTCCCCATCCCCGTCCCCCTTCCCCGCCTGCCTTTCCCACCTCCCCCCTCCCTTCCCCACACCATGGCAGCGCGGCGCCATCAGCAGCAGCGGTGACAGCAGCGTGTGACATCACCTTCGCCATGCTCTCCGACCCTGCTGCTGCTGTGCGTCCCACACCCAGTCCCACCCCACTGCAAGTCCCATACACACGCACACACTCGCACTCACACTCACACGCACACACTCACATAGCTACATGTGCGACTTATACCTGCTTTCCCTTCGGTAGCACCATCACCACTTGTCTCTCGTGTCGTCTCACCATCTTCACACGTACCCCGCCTTCCTGCCTCTGACTTCTCACGTGTGTGCGCAAGACGTGTGTGCGCGAGACGTGTGTGCGTGTGCGTGTGTTTGTGTGTATGTGTGTGTGCGTACATGTGTTTGCATGCATGTGCATGCGTGCATGTGTGTGTGTGTGTGTGTGTGCGTGCATGTGTATGTGTGTGCATGTGTGTGCGTGCGTGTGTATGTGTGCATGTGTGTGCTCATGTGTGCGTGCATGTGTGCGTGCGTTTGTGCATGTATGTGTGTGCATGTATGCGCGCGTGCATGTGTACATGCATCCGTGCATGCAGTTGGAAGTGGCATGTGGGCCAGATGGCGCAGCGGAGGGATTGAAGCCGGGAAAAGGGTGAGCTCCAAGTCATGCAGCCAGCACTTACAGAGATAATTTTTAATTTGACTAAAAAGCAGCCGGCACTTACAGAGACCTTTTTTTAGTTGACTAAAAAGCAGCAGCTACTTACAGAAATCTTCTCACGTGCACGCATGCAGGAGCATGCATGTGGTTGCATGGGTCTGCGTGGCCGCATGGGTGTGTGTGGTCGCATTCGTGTGTGTTTCCACATCTTTGTAAATTGTAACCATGTCATGCACAACCGTATACCACACTTCATACCTGCACCACACCACACCGCACCGCACCACGCCACACCACACCACACCACACCACACCACACCCCGCCTCTTCCCCCATTCCGTGCCATCAATCAGCTACGTGGACGCATCAACGGTGGACGTGGAGACAGCTGTCAGGGTGGCGCAGGCCGTGCGCGCCACAGGAGCACAGTTCCTCGAGGTGAGGAAAGAGGGGGGAGGGAGAGAGGGGGGGTGAAGGGGCAGCAAGCATGAGCACAAGGAGTTTGAGGGTTGTCTGCTGCTTTAGCAGCCACACCAGGCCGTGCGTGTCACTGGAGCACACTTCCTCGAGGTGAGGAAAGAGGGGGGAGGGCGGGAGGGAGAGACGGAGGTGAGGAGGCAGGGGGGAGGGAGGGAGGGTGAAGGGGCAACAAGCAAGAGTACAGGGAGTTTGTGGGGCTGTCTGCTGCTTTGGCAGTCAGACCAGGCAGTGCGCGGCACTGGAGCACAGTTCCGCGGCGTGAGGAGGGAGCCTGGGAGGGTGAAGGGGCAGCAAGGATGATTTCAGGGAGGTAGGTAGGGTGGAGGATTTCTGCTGTTTCGCTGTGATCCAGTGGGTGACACTGGCTGTGTGCGCCCACTGGATCACAGATCTTCAAGGTGAGGAGGGATCCTGGGAAGGAGGGAGGACGGGAGGAACGGAAGGAGGAAGGGAGGGAGGCGCCGGTGTTGGCATGAAAAAATCATCTTCCGAGTCAACTTCTGAGTTGCCTTGAATCTCCCTTCCCTTCCCTCAGAATTGACCTGCTCTGCATTCCCTGTTGCTGTTTCCCATCCCACCACGCACAGGCGCCCGTGTCCGGGTCGAAGACGTCAGCGGAGAACGGCACGGCACGACACGCTCATCTTGCGAGGTGACTCAAAACCCACAGCGTCGTTCCATTCGAGGTGACTCAGAGCTCTGCCCCGTTTCCCCTGTTTCCCACGCGCGCACAGGCGCCTGTGTCGGGGTCAAAGACGCCAGCGGAGAACGGCAAGCTGATCTTCCTGGCAGGTGGATTCATAAGCCAGTCTCCTCTCGAATGGTCTCAAAAGAGCTGCGCTCCCGTTTCTCCCTCTCTCCATATTCCCCCCCACAGGCGCCTGTGTCGGGGTCAAAGACGCCAGCGGAGAACGGCAAGCTGATCTTCCTTGCAGGGGGCGACTGGGACCTGTACGAGCGCGCTGGACCCATGCTCAATATCATGGGCAAGGTGAGGGCGCTGGACCCATGCTCAACATCATGGGCAAGGTGAGGGCGCTGGACCCATGCTCAACATCATGGGCAAGGTGAGGGCGCTGGACCCATGCTCAACATCATGGGCAAGGTGAGGGCGCTGGACCCATGCTCAACATCATGGGCAAGGTGAGGGCGCTGGACCCATGCTCAACATCATGGGCAAGGTGAGGGCGCTGGACCCATGCTCAACATCATGGGCAAGGTGAGGGCGCTGGACCCATGCTCAACATCATGGGCAAGGTGAGGGCGCTGGACCCATGCTCAACATCATGGGCAAGGTGAGGGCGCTGGACCCATGCTCAACATCATGGGCAAGGTGGGGGCGCTGGACCCATGCTCAACATCATGGGCAAGGTGAGGGCGCTGGACCCAAGCCCTTGCTTCTCTTCTTGCACTCATCTGCCGCTGCTCCATTCCATCCACATACGAACCTGCCTTCCGTCTATGCCCGATGCATTCTCGCAAACTCTGTCCTCATTCTTGTCTCATTATCTCAATGCATCTTCTCCCTCCCTCCTTCCTTTTATACGTCCCTTTCTGCTGCGTGTATGGCATTCGTCTCTCTCCCTCTGGCCCCTTTCCACATGCAGTCCACGTTCTTCCTGGGCCCGGAGGGCAGTGGGGCGGCCATGAAGCTGGTTGTCAACATGGTCATGGGAAGGTGGGCGCCTCTCTCACTTGTGTCCTATCCTTGTTAGAGCGAATTTTCAAGGAGGAGTTTATGTGAAAACCAGGTGAGTTTTAAATGAGGCCTTAAGGGCGTGTGGAACGTCCGGACCTCAAGAACGGTTGAAAACGTTTTATTCGTGTACTGCTTTGTTTCTGTAAGTTACATTATGTTGCGGAGTGGTGACAGTTCAGTCTTTTTCAGACTCTTTCAACATGTTCCACGCCCTAAGCCCGCATCACTGGCAGTCTTGAAAAGTGATTCAGCTGCTGAGTATCGAGAGAGGAATGCCGTATTAATCTGTTGACCTACTTAGAATACAAAAAAAAACAGATTCAGCTTAATCTGTTGACTGACTCAGTGCACTTGTTGCCATCCGTACTTCGCCCCCTCCTCACCTCTCTCCGTCCCCCCTACCCTCCGCATTGGTCCTCCCCAACCTCAGTATGATGGCTTCATTCGCTGAAGGGCTAGCACTGGGAGAGCGAGTGGGGCTGGATAAGAACACCATCCTGCAGGTGAGCTCTCTCCTAGGGAACCCCGGACGACTTTTGATATGTCTCATAACTGCACCATTCTGCAGGTGAGCTCTCCTAGAAAACCCCAGAGACGGTCCATGTTGTTCTTTGTGTGGCCACGATAAAGTTTCAAACGCTTAGTTGCATCTCACCTTTCAAAGGCAGGGGGGGGAACGTGGCTGTCAGCATGTGTGTAGGTAGATATGTCTATGCATGCGTGTAGCTGACATATGGGTGTCTCCTTGCATTCGCACTGTCACACATGTGCATAAACACAAACACGCATACACGCATGTGGCGTGTGGCATATCTATGATGGTGTGGCGATCCCGTATCATCAGGTGATAGAGCAGGGTGCCATCGCAAGCCCCATGTTCTCTCTCAAGGGCCCTCTCATGATCGACGGCAACTATGCACCCGCCTTCCCACTCAAGCACCAGCAGAAGGCAAGATCCCGCCACCCCACCTCTCTCACAGGCACCACCTCACCCGCTCCAGTTCCTTTCCCTGTCGTTTTCTCTCTCACCTTATGGTCTGCTCTTTCCTTCCTTTTGCTCATTCCCCTCCCTCCCCCCTATTTCCCCCTTCTTCCACTTCTGTCCTTGCCTCTGCTGCTCGCTGCAAACTCAAATTCGAATACAAACATGCTTTTGGGACACCTCAAGTTCCAGCTTTCCAACCCAGTCCTCAAGTGTCAAATCTTAGAAAGCAATCCCCTTACTCTTATATTCAGAGTCCCAAACCTGACAACCCTAAACCCTAAACCCTGCAGGATCTGCGTCTGGCTTTGGGCCTGGGAGGCGAGTTGGCACAGCCACTCCCCGTGGCACACTTGTCACAGCCTTTTGAGGTGCCTCAGAACTCAATATCCTACTCTCAGACTTATCCTGAACCTGCATCCCCTCACAACCCACCCATACAGGATCTGCGTCTGGCGCTGGGTCTGTGTGACGACTTGGCATAGCCTCTGCCCGTGGCTGCCGCAGCCTTTTGAGGCGCCTCAAAAAACATTTTCCAACTCTCAGACTTATCCTGAACCTGCATCCCCTCAGAACCAACCACCCATGCAGGATCCGTGTCTGACGCTGGGCCTGGGGGACGACTTGGCACAGCTGCTCACTTGCTGAAACCTCAACCTGCATCCTGCAACCCCTCACTCACAACCAACCCATGCAGGATCTGCGTCTGGCTCTGGGTTTGGGCGACGACTTGGCACAGCCTCTTCCCGTGGCAGCTGCGGCCAATGAGGTGTTCAAGAAGGCGCGGCGGGAGGGGCATGGCCGGGACGACTTCAGCGCCGTGTTTGAAGCTGTGAGGCTGCAGCAGCGCGAGGACTGATGAGGAGCGCTGCATCACAGGGAGCATGGGGAGGAGCGCTGGGCTGGATCCCAGGGAGCTGTTTTTGAGGCGCCGCGGAAACAGACGGCAGGGTTGAGTTTTGTGTTCGAGGCTGTGAGGCTTCAGCAGCGCGAGGACTGACTGATGATGAGAGCTGCTTGGGCTTGGGCTGTTCCCACAAGTGTACAAGAGAGGACTCACCTCACCCTTATACTTGTTTTGGCCAATTTTGTACTGTATCACGCCTTCTTAACGTCTTGGATTATTTTGTGGAGCTTGAGTATGGTAACTGAGATGCCCTGTAAGTTGTATCTTGTAACTGACCACCAGCCAGAAAGAGCTATTCTGTACACTATGTAAAAGTACCGGTGCGAGCCATAAAGTACAGAACACAGCTGGAAAATAGCATGAATATACATCACTGCTTGTTTACGCTGAAGGAACGGTTCATGCAGTGAATGAAGGAGGTGCCTACCATGCCAGGCTCTAAACTGCGTTGCAATGCACCTCATTCCTCCCTGGGATCCAAGACATCAATCGAACCATGCCCTATCCCCCCCCCACGTGTTAGATCCGTTTGTGCACTCGCAGAATACATCCCTGCATGTGCATTCACATGCGAGTGCACAGCGTGCGTGTGAGTGGGATGTGTGATGCTGCTTGCACTGCTAACAGCAACATGCCCACCACCACCAGCACCGCCAATGCCACCACCACCCACACCCGCACCAGCAACACCAACGCTGCCACCACCACCAGCAACACTGGAGCTACTGCCTATGACTATACCCATGGTGACATGGGAGAGGGGTGCTCGTCTCGTGAAGCGAACGGCCAAGGGAAGGAACAAGCGGTAGAAGAGCCAGACGAGGAGCGGGGCGGTCACCAGCCATGCGAGCACCTGATGGTGTGAGAGGGGGACAGGGAGACAGGGAGAGGGCAACAACTTTGAAACGTGTCAGAAGTTTGAAGTGGCGCATGAGGAGAGGTGTTACCAGCCAGCAACCATGTGATAAACCTGTTGGTGTTGAGAGGGAGAACAAAAGAGCAACAAAGTTGCAATTTTTTTTTTTTAAGTCAAAAAGGGGGGCAGGGCAGCAACTGGCAGAGGAGTCACATGAGGAGCGGGTCTGCAACTGGCAGTTAGCAACCATGAGAGCATCCCACTGATCCCATGGACCTTATTTCACCGGCCGCATTGCACTGATTGAGCATCCCAGTGACCCACCCACGTGACTTTTGAGTCGACTCAAAAGTCACCTGCATTGCACTGATTGAGCATCCCAGTGACCCACCCACCCACCCACCCCCACTGACCGCGTGGACGAGGCCGAGGAGGAGGCGCGCGGAGGCCTTGCCTCCGGAGTGAGAGAAGGAGAGCGCAGCGAGCAGCGCTGCCGGCGAGATGGCCAGATGGTCAGACCGTGCTAGGCACTCGCCCAGACGCATGTAGGGGATTATGAGGCTGCTTGCAGGGATAGAGAGGGGAGGTGAGGTGAGGGAGAAGTAGAGAAGGGGAGGCAATGAGAGTAGTTCGCTGCACCCACTGTTGTGTTGAGTAGACTTTTGAGTCGACTCAAAAGTCAACTAGCAGTTCGCTGCACCCACTGTTGTGTTGAGTATGTGCGCTGATGTCAGAAGACTTGAAGAAGACCGCCTCGCACAAGTGTTTGTTCGTGCATACTTGCCCCCATGCATGTATTATGCTTGCTCCCATGCATGGATTATGCTTGCCCTCATGCGTATATTATGCTTCGCCCCATGCATGCAAGCGCTATGCTTGCTCGCACATGATCGCCGCACACTATACAGGCCGCAGGCAGCAGCAGCAGCAGCTGACCTGACTTCCACAGGCGTGGCGAGAAACGTGGCAAACATCATGGTGGGACCGTGGCTCCTGGAGCGCAGCATATACGCCACCACCGCACACAGTGCTGCTGTCAGACCTGAGGTGTGTGGGGGGGGGAGGGAGGAGATGTGGGAAGAGATACGGGAAGTTGGGGCAGAGTGGGGAGAGGAAGAGAGTGGCTCCTGGAGCGCAGCACATACGCCACCACCGCACACAGTGCTGCTGCCAGACCTGGGCAGGAGGGGAGGGAGAGGGGGGAGAGATGGGGGGAGGGGAAGGGGGAGGGGGAAAAAGGGGGAGGGTAAAGGGGAAAAGGAAGGGGTTGATAAATGATGTGGGATGAGAGGGGAAGCTGAGGTGGAGCAAGGGGAGGAGGGAAAATATGGAGGTAGGGGAATGGGGGGAGAGAGGGAGAAAACACTGGGGAAAATGACAGGGATTCTAATGATTGGAGAGCAGAAGGGGAGCGAGAGATAGTGGGGAAAGGGTCAAGTGGGGTGGGAAAAAGAAATGCACGAAGAAACGTGGGGTGAGAGGAGCGAGGGAGGAAGGAGGAAGGCGAGGTGGCACGGGTGGGGGTACCGCAGAGAGGGAAGAGGCCGGTGACGAAGCCAAGGGCGAGGGAAAAGGCGAGCTGCTTCGGATCCGCTCCGCTGCACGCAGAAGGGAAGAGTGAAAGAGATTTGGTGGGGACGAGAGGGGGAAACGGAAGTGTAGGGTCCGGAGGGGGAAAGGGAGGGGGGAAATTGTGATAAATTGCCTGCACTTGTCCGGACAATTGTGATAAATTGCCTGCACGGCGAAATAGTGATATGTTGCTGGACAGAGCAAGAAACTCCTTGGAAGTGGTGTGATATGAAATGGTGTGATGTTCTTATATGTGTCATGGGATTGCATGATGGCATGGAATCACGGAACCTGCACGCTCATCTCGAGACCACAGCCTGGAATGTACGGTGCCATGAAAATTGAAATGGAATCCTAACGAGGACTGTACCTGTTGCCACCGACTTGCACCACTCTCTCACCACTCCCAATCATCTTTCTCCCCTTTTTCCCCACCTTTCCTGTTTCACGCCCTCCCTTCATTCCCCCCTTCCCCTTCCTCCCTCCCCTTTCCCATAATCTTCCCCATCCCTCCCACCACTCCACCCCTCGGCTACTCCCACAATTTCCCCGCTCCGCCTTGCACGACAGCCCTTTCCCCCCCTACTTTTCCCCCTTCCCCCGCCCTCCCCACAGTACCGGCGGAAGATGGCGAGGCAGGGGTCGACAACGGCGGACTTCCCCCACCGGCTGATGCGCCACCGCCGCCACCCCGCGAGGAACGCGGGCGCGTGGAGGGTCTCCGATACAAGCCCCGCGCCCATTGCTGCTACTAACGAGCCGGCGGCTCTCCACGTGGCGCTCAAGAGTGGCACGTTGCCGCCGTCATCGGCGCGCAGTGATTAAACCACGTGTGGCCATGCATGCGGGGGATACGGCGGCGGGTGCAGGTTGGTGTGAGCCGAGAGTTAAACAAACAGCATGTCCGCGCCGTAGAGAAAGGGGCTTCTAGCGGATTTTATTTGAAAGGGAAAATCTTCTACAGAAGTCAGAGCGGGTAGCTGGGGGCGGGAGACGCTTGGCTAGCCGGAATGCCTGTCTTGATTCGCTATTGTATCACTTTTGTGACAGCACATGCACGAAGCAACGACGCACGGCGAGTTTGACTATTACTGGCTTGGAAGGTTCATGTAACTGGTACTGATGCGACGCCAATGCCAGACTACAAGCTTGCTTGCTGGGCTAACTAGCTTGAGCTTCACAAAGAACAAGTTTGGGCTGTCAAGTTTTTCTTTGCTGCTTGAATTTCTTTCACAACTAGAGAAATATGAGTTCCACAGCACTGCGGAAACTCCAAGGCATAAGCGCAACATCGGTGCAGTGGGATGGGAGGCTCCGGCTGGTCTGTTGAGTTCGGTTCGCTGATTTAGTTTCCTGGTTTAGTGCGAAACGAACTGGCAGTGGAGCTCAGTGACTGACAGGGAGGACGCCAGAGGTGTCCTTGGAATTTCAGTAGGCAAGGCAGGTGTTGTTTCCTTGTCAGACTTGCTCGAGCTGGAGCCGCGGTCGCGTGAACAACGGCACGGTTCTGCCCGAACCAGCTCCAGGGTGGTTGGTGAAATTCGCTGTACAAGCGTGGGGCTTTGGTTCTTGCCGTTTTGAAGTACTCCACAAAGAATGAGGTAACTCGTGTTGTAGTGTAAGGAAAATTCCTTTTCCTTACTTCGCATCCCTGCTCAACGCGTACATCACTGTAGCACCACAGTCAGCACCGTTACCACTCGCAACCCTCGCATCGACAATCCGCCCGCCACCTTCGCACATCGCACCCTGACCTCACGGCTCGGCGGGTAACTCGCGCTCCGGGCCTCCGCTTCGACACTTTTTCCCAACCTCAGTCCCAGGCCCGTCGCGCGACAACCACAGTCCATTACCGTTACCACTGTAGTTTCGCTATATATTCTTCGCTCATGCCTTCGCTCATTGTACTCTTGCTTCGATAGTGCAATTCTCGTTCGTTCACTCAATTGCACTCGTAACATGTAGAAACTTGTACCGTACGTATGACATGGGAAAAACATGCTTGAATAATTCAATGAGCTGGATACCAAAAAAAAAAAAAAATCAACTGGTACCGTGCGTTGTGGAAAAAGCGGAGTGCAGGTGATCTGGCCCTGGTTATGCAGCAAAGCAAACCTCATTCATACCCGTGACCCGTCCTGTAGCTCTAGAATGAAACCACGACAAGTTACTAGATTTGATATGGCACGGTCAGGTGGATACATTCAGAAGCCTGTGAAGAGCATTGGGTACGTCCGGCAAAGTCCTGAGGACCACAGCTGCATAGATGGGATGGGATGGGACGGGATGGGATGAAAGGTGAGGTGAGTAAACCACGTGGCAGTACGGTACTACCAACAAGCTAGCTAGCAAGCATTAATACGTTGAAGAAGCGTGTGAGGCTGAGCTCACAAATAGAAAGGACAGGTGGGAAAGATGATGTGATAAAGGATCAGGGAAGGGGCGGGACGGGAAGGTGGGGTGTTTGAAAGAGGGGGTGAGGGGAGGCTTACAACGGACAGCAGAGCTCCATGCTTGAAGTTGGGACGGAAGGACATGGCAAGAGGTGCAACTGGTTGCTCCCCTTCTCGTGTCACAGGTGGGGATGGTGGTGGCGGTGGTGGGGAGGAGGACGATGATGCCACAGGTTGCGGTGGTGGTGGTGGCGGTGCTGCTGTTGACGGGCCTCGAATCACACCCCTGTGATCATGGAGGGGAGGGAGGGAGAGAGGGCGAGAGGGAGGGGGAGTTGAGGATACGACAAGTGGAATTGGCAGCAGGCAGTGATGAGGGGGATGATGACGGTAGGGCGATGGTGGTGGCACACGCTGTTACTTATGGGCTTACACAAATGAGACAAGTTGGAGAAACGAGTTTAAGGGAGTTGATAACAATCTGTGCATCTGATGTTGGCTCTCATGTCAGGTTGTTACGCATCCATTCGTAAGTGGGAGTTATTATGAGCAGATGGCAGGACGGGAGGAGAGATGAGACGGGAAGAGAAGAGACATGAGAAAAGAGCAGAGACGAGGAGAGATGGGGAAAAAAGAGCGGAGAGATGCGGAGAGATGAAGAGAGAAGACGGGAGACGAGAAGAGAAGAGAAGAGATGAGGCTAGGGAAGAGGAAAAGAGTGGGTGGGGGGGTGGGGAGTGTTACAAGAGGGAGGCGGTGAGGATGGGTGCGAGGTGAGTGTCAAAGAGCGCGACCAGTCCAGCCGTGTCCATGCGAGCTGAGGAGAAGGAGAGGGCCAAGCGCCTGCCGGTGGCATCCCATGCCATGTCCGTCACTCCTCTGTTCGAAGACGGATGGGAGGGATGGGAGGGATGGGAGGGGTTGGAGGGGTTGGAGGGGTGGGAGTGGCAAACGCAGCGAGCTTAAGAGGAATCCAGTGTCAGCAAGGGAAGGCGATTACCAAACCAATTTAACAACCCAAACGAAAGGATATCAGTTCAGACCCGCGTCCAAGACGCCGCGCATCCACACAGACAGACTCGTACAGACTCGCACAGGCTCAACGGACTCACCCAAAGGTGGATAATTCAGGGGGGCTCATGGGATCGATCATGAGTGAGGCAAGGTCTGGCAGCTCCAGAGGCAACACGTGGATGTCTGGCGCAGGGGCAGGCACGGGTGGAGAAGGAGGCAAACGAAAGGCAAAGATGGGCATGCTTCTGCTAGTTTGATTTGAGCTGAATGGCCAGTTTCGGAATGATACTCGTCTCGAGTATCGTTTCGAGATGTGTAAAAAACGGGTGCAGAAGAGTAGAGTAGAGCATGGCTGTGTGCAGCCAGCCAGGGCACGCACTGGTGCGAAGAAACAAAGAACAGCCGCAATTTCTTAAGTTTCTGAGTAGCAGACAAGGTTGAGGGAAGCGGGTGGGGGGAGATGGGAGGGGGAAGTGCGGGGGATAAGAGGACGGCAGGGAGTGGGATAATGGGGGGCGGCTTGTGATTACCAAGTGCGGGAGGCGAGCGCGCAATGTGCACTGCGGCAAGAGTGGGCGTGGAGTGGAATGCGAGGAGCAGCACACGGCTGTCAGGACTCCACGCTGCTGCCTGCACGGTAGGAAGAGTGAGGGAGGGGAGCAGCGAACTCTTTTTAGAGGTGCATGTAAAACATTAAGGTGCCTGCAAATTCGTTTCTAGATGTGAGAAAAAAAAAGAAGATTGACAATGGATACAGGAAGGAGGAGGGCAAGGGAGGCAGGCGGGCAAGCAGGCATTGGATGCATGCATGGGTGGGAGGGAGTGAGCTCACGGTGATTTGCTGTGCGCCCACCGACCACTGCTGGCATGTCCACGACTCTGTCTCCCACATGTGGAATGTGCCATCGCTGGTGGTGCAGTGCGGTTGCAGCCGGTGGGAAGAAAGCGAGAGAGAGAGAGAGAGAGAGAGAGAGAGAGAGAGAGAGAGAGAGAGAGAGAGAGAGAGAGAGAGAGAGAGAGAGAGAGAGAGGGAGGGAGAGGGGCGTAGAGGAACGGAAAAGGAGAAGAGACGGGAGGATGCGAGAGGTGAATTGGGGCAGGGCTTGATATGCTGTGACGAAGCTTGGTATGCTGTGAACGAAGCTTGGTATGCTGTGAACGAAGCTTGGTATGCTGTGAACGAAGCTTGGTATGCTGTGGACAAAGCTTGGTATGTTGTGAACGAAGCTTGGTATGCTGTGAACGAAGCTTGGTATGCTGTGAACGAAGCTTGGTATGCTGTGAACGAAGCTTGGTATGCTGTGAACAAAGCTTGGTATGCTGTGAACGAAGCTTGGTATGCTGTGAACGAAGGACTGGGAAGTGATGGGGCGACGGAGAGGGGCTGGTCCAGGTGTTGGTTGGTACATCTCATAGGTGCACACTCTAGTATGAGATGTAGCGAGCAGGGAAGATGTGAAACGTATGTATTTGTATGTATCAAGCTACTCCCGACTCCCACCCACCCACGTGCGTTAAAGCAGAACGGGAAAGAGCAGAGAGGGTAAGAGCAGAGAGGGCAAGAGCAGAGCAGAGAAGAGGAAGATAGAGTCGCACAAGAGGCAGCTGAAGAGGCAGTCCCCCCGGGGTGACCAGCGCAGCATCTTCACCCCTGCAAAGCCACGGCGCAATGGCGTTGCCACACCTGGTGTGGACGGGCAGAGGAGGTGAAGCATGAGGGCGAGAGGGAGAGGGAGGGAGGGCGGGAGGGAGGGAGGGAGGGAGGGTCAGAGGATCGGAAGGAGGCAGATGCGAGCAGTGAGTCATGGGAGAGGAGCAGTAGGAGCAGCAGGAGCAGCAATAACACGTGATGATGGAGTGGCAATGAATGGTTGAACATGAATGAACGCATGTTTGAGCAAACTAGCAGCAGACAAGGTGCAAAACCTTTTGAACATGGAACCTCAATAAGGAAGTTGACAGCAGTCGGGTGTCTGTATATAATGAGGTACCTGTGGCAACGTCCCATATCAGGATGGTTGATGATGCGTGTGATGCTGACGCTAGCAATGTGTGACAGAGCAACACCAAGAAAGATCGCGAGTGGAGAGCATTGGGGATGGAGGAGGAAGAGGAGGATGGGTAGGAGGAAGGAAAGAGGAGGAATGCGCAGGCAAGAAGGAGAATAAAGCGAGTTAAGGAAGAACAGGCTTTTGAGGCGCCTCAAAGGAAGAATAGGCAGGTGTAGGAAGGGAAGGGGCAGGAAAGGAGCTGGAAAGGAGGAAGAATGAAATGAATAAGGATGAAAAAGGAGGCAAGGAGCAGCAAGGGGAAGCAGAAAACAGCAATGGGAAAGAACAAAACGAGTGAGGAGCAAAAGCTGGGAGTGTTCGAGGGATACAGGGCGGAAACGAAGTAGCAAACAACAGGAGTGAGCAGGCAAGGCCGAGAAAAAACAGAAAAAGAGCAGAGCAGAGCAGAGCAGAGCAGAGCAGAGCAGAGCAGAGCAGAGCAGAGCAGAGCAGAGCAGAGCAGAGCAGGGCAAAGCGGAGCGGAGCAGAGCAGGATATCTGCCACATGGGCTGAACGCCACACTAGTGACCGCCCCTTGCTGCCGCTGCGGCGAGCTGGCAAGAAACTGCATACACGCCGGCACCACACACCCCCTTCCACCGCTCCCCACACCTCCACCTCCTCCTCCTACTCCCCATCCCCCCCCCCCTCCCCCCACTGCTCCCATGCTGGCCCCTGTGATGCCGGATAGAGCTGTGTCTCCCCCAGATGGCCCCTCCACCAGGAGAGGCCCTGCCAGGTTCCACAGGCAGATGCCCGCCCTGAGAGCAGCACGCAGTGGTGGTGGCATGTGGAGGGCGGGGGTTGTGTGGCGGGGGAGGCGGGGGTGTGGTGGGGGGCCCGGGGGAGGTGGGGGACATAGAGAGGGGGAGGTTGCAGACGAGTGATGGAGGAGCAGGAGGGGGGCACGTAGAAGGAGTGGGGGAACGGAGGAGGGGGAACAAGGAGTGGGGGAACAAGGAGTGGGGGAACGGAGGAGGGGAAGGAAGGGATAAGAGGAGGGGGAAGATACGAAATGAAAGAGGAGGAACGCCTTGCAATGCCAGAATGTAATGCCACCCCATCCCATGTCATGCCCCATCCCAATCATCCCATTCCATGCCATCCCATGCCATCCCAATATCCCATCCCAACCATCCATGACACGACCCATCACCCACCCCTGTCCCCTCCCATTCACTCCCCCATATCTCCTCGCATCTCCCAACACCGCTTTCGATGCCTCACCTGCACGCCACAGCCAGAGTGGCGCCTGCCTTGGGCCGCCAGTCAACACACGACACGTGGCGCTGCAGCTCGTGCAGAAGGATGGAGGGCGGTGGGGGGGAGAGCGAGGGACCTGGGAGTCAACAAGGGAAAGGAGAGCAGAAGTAAAAACGGAAGAAGTGGTGAGGTGAGAAGGGGGAAGGGGGAAGGGGGGAGGGTGGACGGGGGGGGGACGGGGGTAAAGGCAGGCAGGCCGGACATCCTTGGCTGGACTGGCCTGCTATTCCGCCTGTATACCCTTTCAAAGAGCAGCACAGCAGAGAGGCAGTGAGCACACAGGTGCACTGGCACATGCGCTCATGGGCAGGAGGGCAGGCGGGCGGGCGGGCGCGCAATAGATGCGAGAGGTGGAGGGGGCGGAAGGGACAGGGGTACCAAAATAACGAGAAAGGGGAGAGGGAAGTGAGGGAGGCAGGCTGGCAGGGCGGGCGCCTGAGTGAATTTTTTTAGAATTCTAAGGAATCTCTCACCTGAGTGCAGAGCAGAAGCATGGAGGTCGAAGAGAAGAAGGCGGTCGAGAGGGCCCGATGCGAGAAGGCGTGGTGAGAAGCGGTGCCATGCGATGAGTGGACGAGTGGGGGGAGGGGGAGGAGGGGAGGACGCGAGGAACGCAGGCAACTGCACGGATAGATAGTAGGCCGGGAGGAGGGGGGAAGGGGGGGGGGGGGGGGGGGGGGGGGGGGGTATTGTGAAAGAGTTAAGAGACTTCGCATAATTTGGCTGTGTTTTGGGACGTCATAGAAGGTGGTGGGACGTCACAGAAGGTGGTGGGACGTCCCCAGAATGTGTAGGTAAGTAACCACAAGCACAAGGTGGTGGGAAGGGGAGACGGAGGGACGATGGAGAGTGGGATGCTAGGGGGTCCCTTCTCATTAGCAGAGGAAGGAGAGCAAGGAGAGGTTGAGGTCCCTCCCAATCCCAACCCCTCGCCCCCCTCACCATGTGCTATAACCGCATCACTGTGTCTGTCTGCTGCAGCATCCATCCAGGCGCCCCCATCTCCCTCTCTATCCCCCAACCGCCAGCTTTCACCCCAAGACATGACACCGACCGCAAAACTTTGAGTTGACTCAAGAATCTTCCGCCTCACTCACTCACTCACTCACCATGTGCTGTAGCCGCATCACCGCATCCGCTGCAGCATCCATGAGCGACCCCCCACTCCCTCTCCGTCCCCCTCCTCCTCCCCCGGACCGACCACCAGACGCCACCACCGACGGCGAATACGGCGTTCCTGCTGCTGCTTTCCGCGCACTGCTGCTGCTCCTCTCCCCTTCCCCTCCGCCCGCCCCTGCTGATTCCGAAGGAGGCGTGGAGGGCGTGAGGGGAGTGGATGGGGATGCTAGAGCAGTGGCGGTTGCAGCAGGAGTAGAAGGAGGCGGGGTGGCCGGGGCAGGGGATGTGTGGGATGGAGTGGTGGAGGAGACGCCATAACCAGCAGCAGCAGCACCGCCACCAGATGCGGCAGGAGCAGCAGTGGGAAGAAGGGAGCCGTTGATTATGAGCAGAGGCGTGGACTCGAAGGCGAGATCCACTGGGTTCACTGCGGCCAGAGGAATGTCCAGTACTGCGTGGTGCTGTGCGGTGCAGGGAAATGGGGGCCAGTGGGAAGAGAGAGGGAGGGATGTGCGGGGAAAGAGGGGAAAGAGAACAGAGTGTGATGATACCACAGCGGAATGGCAGGTTGATGAGAAGAAGAGTAGTAAGTGATCAGGAAGGAACAACTGTTCCTAGTAAGTGATTAGGAATGGATGCACTAAGTTTGCTGCTGCTGCTGCTGCTGCTAAAGTGGTGCCAGCTGATGCACAAATTGTCTTTAAAATGTCATGGAACTGCAGAAATGTTCTCATGGCATTTTCGTACAAGCGCGATTAAAATGAGGGCAACGGATGGAGGATGGAGGCCCGCGACAACGACGAGGGATGGCTAGAGGGACACGAGGACAGCAATTAAGAGACGAGCGAAGGAACGGAAGGATCAGAAGGAAGGGGAGGAAGGGAATGGCGGAGGGAAGAGAGCAAGACACGGAAGGTGGTGGTGAGGGGGAGGGGAGAGAGGAGCGCAGGTAGTGACCATGAGATGTGTGTAGGCGTCCCGTGTGCTCGCATCCACATCTCTCCTGGATGTCACTGTCGTTTGAGAACATGCCGGGGAGACATTCGCATGCATGACATGGGGTAGGACGAGACGGGATGGGAAGAGAGCCGGAACGGGTTGTTATCATGATGCATGGTAGAGTGTGGCGTGGGGCGGTGTGGTCCGGTATGGTGTGGTCTAGGATGAGATGATGTGAAATGAAATCGTCTTCAGCCGGAGATTTCCGTATGTAGAGAGAAATTTCAGAAACGTTATGCAGAAAGAGGCTCTGGAACCAATCCCGCCATGAGCGCGAGGCGAATGCCGGAACGAGGCGGCGAGAATGCGAATCCGTTCATTCATGAAAATGCCATTACAGAACCCGACGCGACGGTTAATGAGTCGACTCGAAATCGAAATTCAACCCGATTCATCCATCCATGCATCGAGCTCGCAATCTAAGCGAACGCACGAAACCCACGGAAGTACAGTACGTTTGAGCAGTAACGCTTACGCAGAATTCCGTTCACTTCGCCGATCGTCTCCTCGCCCATCCGCGGCAGCATCGCCATGGCCGACTAGGCTGCTGACCCACGTATTCTTGGGAACACTTCAGCAAACGTTCAGGATCGTCGTAAAATCCACGGACTTGGTACTGCTGCTCAACTCAACTCAAAGCTGGCCAAAGCGTGGTGGTGGAAAAGGGGGGTGAAGAGAATGTGTTTGTCTGCACTGCAAGCAGCTCCGCGTTCCGATTCTACAAGTTCTATAGAATGATACACTTCCACCACTTAGCGTATAAGTAGGGTGGTAATTGTTTATACGCAGGTTTATGCAGCTATTTCAACCAGATTCACGTAGAAGGGAGTGTGAGTAAAAGCCGCCTCACGCATCCCCGTTATGGGACAGAACAAATAGAGCAGAACGGCGATTCTTCGCGAATTCATGCAAGCAGAATGCAGAGAACACAATCAATGGCAGATTTCGGATCATCCCACTAGTTACGCAAATCTGGAATGGGAGGCGTGGTGGAGGGGAGGTAATGTGGAGGGGGACTCTCTCTTCCCGCAGCGGAGCAATGGTTTAGCGTATCGACGAGTACGGAAGCCTTTGGTGAGGGCTTGATGACCGGCTTTTGAAACGTGTCAGGAGTTCGATCACTGTCCGTCTCGATCTCTATCAATGGCGGCGACAACTCGGCGCGCTGCTAGCGTTGAGGACTTTCACAGCGGCAGCGGCGGCGGCGGTGGCGGCGGAGGCAGGAACTTGTACCAAGTCGTACGCGATATAAAGCGCGCCGAGTCCACCGTGTACAACGCGCTGCGCTCGATCCTTTTAGACGCGTCGTTCGTGCGCGAGATCCACGCCCTCTGGCCGTCGTTACCGTTGCTGGCGAACCTGCGCTGCGGGCTGTGGTACGCGCCGCCCTATGAGGTGGCTGCCACGTGTTACTTCAAGTCGACGGATGGACACACGGGGAACTGGGATTTCAGCGCGACGCGGATGAACCTCCACGTGGCAGACATGGCAGGTCTAACCCCTCTTGTTCCTCCAATCATCTCTCCGCTTTCGCAGTCCCCGAACTCCCCGTCTCTTCCTTCCACCCCACCTTTCCCCCCGCACTCTCGTCACACCAGTCCTTCGACCTCTTTCCCCCTCAAGCCCCCCCTCCCCCTTCCCCCCGTTTCCCCCGCTCTCCCCTTCCCTCCCTCCCCGTCCTCCGTCCCCCTCTTCTCCCCCAACCCTTCCCCTCTCCTCCTCTGCTCCCCCTTCCCCCCTTCATTTTCTATATCCCGAACGGCAGCGCGCAGCGGCGGCGCGATGATAGTGGACGCGACGCGGCGGGGAAAGGTGTTTCCCGACAGCCTGTCCAAGACCATCCCCATCTGGGCGTGCGTCGTTAACCGCGCCGTGCAGCGCGTGCGCGCGCAGGGGAGAGCGCGGGAGGAGGGGGGAGAGCGGGGGAGGAGGGATGAGAGGAGGGAGCATGGGGAGAATGGGGAAGCTAGAAGCTGCGGGGAGGGCAGGACGGATGATACAGTCAGGGCGCAGAAGGGGAGCAGGGCGCATGGGGAGGCAAGAGATCAGAGCAAGCACTGGGAGCAGAACAACAACGAGCTGAATCATGTCAAGTCCGACTCACCACCACCACCACAGCCGCCACAACAACAGCAGCAGCAGCAGCAGCAGCAGCAGCAGCAGCAACGCGCACATGGGGGAGGAAACACCGCTGCGGCCTCACCTGAGTCATTGTCACCCTCACCCCCGTGTGAGTCAACCCCAGCATGGGACGAGGCATTGCACCTGCCGCGGTGGGTGTCGAGCACAGAGCAGGCGAGCATAGAGCAGCGCCTGGATGCTTGGGTGGATCGGCTGGTGCTCATGGCTCCCCCTGCTGCCCTGCATAGACTGGCTTTTGGGGAGACACAGGGCGAAGAGGGAGAGGAGGGGGAGGAGAGAGGGGAGAGGGAGGAGGGGCGGGATGGGGATGGAGGAGAGGGGGGAGAGGAGGGAGGGGATTGGGAGAAGGGAGATGGGATTTGGGAAGGGCGAGAGGCGACAGGAGGAGCAGTAGAAAGGGAAGGTAACAAAAGCAGCAGCAGCAGCATCAACAGTGCTACCACCACTGCGAATAACAGCAGCGCAAGGAGAAGAGGCAGCAGCAGCGTGGGTAGATTGCAGAAACCGCTGCGAGTGCTGTGGGTGTCCCAGCTATCACTCATCTGGACGAATGAGGTACCCTTGCCTGACTCCCTCCCCTTCACTCCCCTCCTTCTCGTCTCTGCCTCCGCACCCTCCCCTTCCGGCTGCCCCCCTCCCTGCCCCTCGTTGTTATTCTTGGGCGAAGAGATAGGAACGATGGGGCGACTTGGGAGAGTGGGGCGGGTGAGGAGGAGCACGAGGAGTGGGGAGAAAGCGGAAAGGGATGGCGAGGAGGAGGGCGGAGAGGAGGTGGTGGGGAGAGTTGATAGTTTTGTCAGTGACAATGACAAGGACAGCAGCAGAGACAGTGAGAGCGATGAAGAGATGGACGAGGAGAGCTCATGGTATGACGAGCCGTGGACGTATATTCAAGGGGCGGGTGACGATGAGGAGAGCTGGGCAAGGGGGTTGACTCCGCAGTTGTTCTGGGGGAACTGCAGGGAGGTGCTTGGGGTAGGGGCGCGCGCGTGCAATGCTGCTGTTGCTGGCGTGGTGGAGAGGGAGAGGGTGAGAAGGCAGAGGAGAGGGGAGCATGCTCCGCAGGTGAGAGTGAGAGAGAGAGGAGGAAGGGAGAGGGGGAGGAGGGAGGGGGACGAGACGGGGAGAGGAGGGGGGGAATGTGGGGGAGGAGGTGCAGCGGAACGGATGCAGGGGGTAGGAAGGGAGGAAGTTGGCAGGGGGGAGGTGCGACGGGGGGAGGTAGACAGGGAAGGGGGAGTCAGTGGTTGCAGTGTGGGGCCAAGTTCAAATGACGACGAGAACTCGGTATTGAAGAGAAGTAGCAGTAAGTTAGGAACACAGGTGGGAGGACAAGGGAACGAGCAGGAGCAACAGCAGCAGCAGCAGCAGCAGCAGCAGCAGCAGCAGCAGCAGGGGGCGGATGAGCAAAGAGGCAGCATGGGTTCAGATGGTGGGAATGGCGTGCACTGGATTGCTCATCTGCCCATGGCTGTGGCCGCTGCAGGTTAGCTAGTTCAGGCCCAAAGGGCCATGCGCTCGCATAACTTAGGACTCCTCCGGCTCTTGCGCTTGCTTGCTCTTGCTCTTGCTCTTGCTCTTGCTCTTGCTCTTGCTCTTGCTCTTGCTCTTGCTCTTGCTCACTCTTGCGCCTACACTTACCCCCACTCACACTAACTTACCCACTTACCCTAATGCTCCTTGCGTGCCGATCGTTCGTTCCTCCCAGTGCTCTGTTACCGATCGTGCTCCTCCACTCTGTTACCCAAACCCTCTTCAACTCCTTGCCCGACTCTCTCTCTCTCCCATTTCTCTCTCCTCGCATCCCCCTCTCGATCAGCCAAGAGTGCAACTCACACCATCTATTCCCTTTTTGACTTCACTCTACAAAATCATCTCCCCCTTCTTTTTCCCCCCATATTCATCTCAATCAGCCCACAGTGCAACTCACACCATCTATTCCCCTTTTTGACATCACTTCAGAAATCATTCTTTCCTTTTTCTCACCTCCTCTCCGTCACACCACAGCACAAGTCCCGTCGTCCTTCCCGCGTTCCCTCTTGCCTCTCGCGGTGATAGCATGCGGAGTGGACCTCCCACCCGGGCTGCGAGCGCTGCTGGACAGCCAGACGCGGACCCACGGTGCAGCGTCTGGAGAAGGGGTTGAGAGAGAGATAGGCAAGGGGAATGTGGAGGAGAGTGGGGAGCAGAGTGTGAAGGAAGGCGGTTCAGAGCTGATACTGAAGAAGAAGCAGCAGCAGCAGCAGCAGCAGCAGCAGCAGCAGCAGCAGCAGCAGAAGCAGCAGCAGCAGCAGCAGCAGCAGGAGGGTGGTGGTGAAGGCGTCTATGAGGAGCAATTTCACATCTCCCTACCTCTCAAGGTACACTGAAGCTAATTCCTCCCATTCTATCCATGAGGCCCGTTGTAAGCGTCCCTTTCACTCTCCTTCACTTGCACTCGCACCCCTCTCTCCTCTCCCAGACCTTGCCATCTTAAACTCGCATCTCTCTATCCATTTTCACTGCTGTGTTGCAGTCACTTTTGAGAAATCTCACAAGTCTATCCATTTTCACCGCTCCCACTCTTCAAAGATATTGTCAGAGTAAACTCAGATGTTCACACCTGCCGCTGCCACTCACCTTCATTTCTCCATCCTTCCTTCGCTTCTCCCCCCCTCCGTGTCCCATTCCTCCTCGCCTCTCCTTCTCACATTCTGCTTATAATACTGCCTCCCACCTCCTGCATCGCTTCCATACCCTGCTTCTTCACATATATCCCCCTCCGCCTTTCCCCCTTCCCTCCCCCGTGCATTCAATCTCTTTTGAGCAACCCCAACAACAACCCCCACATGCCTTCCTCCCTCCTCTTCCCTGCCTACTTCCCTGCTTCGTCTCCGCTTCGTCTCGCCTCTCCCCTCCCATCCGCCCCCCTCCCCTCCCTTCCCATGCGGTCATCCAAGTACGACCGTCTCCGCATAGCGCACCACATACCGGCATGCTTCCAGTCGACTCAAAACGCACTTTCCCCCATCCCCTCCCATCCCCTCCTCCCTCCCCTCTTCCTTCCATCCTCTCCGCCCCCTCCCATCCCATGCAGTCATCCAAGTACGACCGTCTCTGCATAGCGCGCCACATACCGGCGGCACTGGCCTTCGCTTGCAAGCACCTGCTACTCCGCCACCGCCTCTTGCTCATCTGCCCCGACGGTACGCACTCCCCTCCCCCTCTCTTTCTGCAGTCTTCATTCAGGGGTGTTCTGCCCTCCGGTAACGGCTTGAACGGGACTTGGCTGTTCGATCCAGCAGTTAGTTCCCTGTGCTTTGAGACGTCTCAACATTTTTGAGACGCCTCATAGCGCGCCACATACCGGCGGCACTGGCCTTCGCTCGCAAGCACCTGCTACTCCGCCACCGCCTGCTGCTCATTTGCCCCGACGGTACGCACTCCCTCCCTCTCTGTTTCTGCAGTCTTTTCCGGGAACACTCCGACTGTGATGGCTTGTGCTTTGTGGGCTGTGTGAAAACGGTATACCGCTCGTCTGCCCTGGCGTTATGCCACCCCTCTCTACCGCTCGTCTGCCCTGGCGTTATGCCACCCCTCTCTACCGCTCGTCTGCCCTGGCGTTATGCCATCCCTCTCTACCGCTCGTCTGCCCTGGCGTTATGCCATCCCTCTCTACCGCTCGTCTGCCCTGGCGTTATGCCATCCCTCTCTGCCGTGCAGCTGTTCAGCTATTCAGGGGTGTTCCTCCCTCCCTCCCTCCCTCGAATGACGGTTTGAACGGGACTTGGCTGTTTGATTCCAGCAGTTAGTTCCCTGAGCTGAGTACCTGCAGGTTCTCTTGTGCGGATTGGACCCACGCCTCGTTTTGAGTCGCCAAAAAATAACCTGCATGCTTTTCTCGCGCCTCCGTTCTGCGCTCCTCTTATCGAGTGATTATCAGGTGATTCTAGATGTTCCTGAAACTTCACCTTTTCTTCACCACCGTTTTGATCTCTTCTTTTCCTTCACCACCCTTTGCATTGGCATTGGCATGGCATGTGCAGGTGTGGACTTGAGTGTGTGCATGTGTGCTGCGCTCCTCTTAGCCCTGCCTCACGAACTCTCCCATGCCTGTAAGTTCTCTCTTCAAAACTTCTCCTTGAGTCCCTCATTCCTCCCCTTGCTCCCCTCAACCATCATTGCATGCCCTTCCCACCCCTTGTTTCGTCCATCGCTTCAATCGTCTGTTAACCGCTTCGTTGTGAGGTCACACTCCAACCTCACAGCAATTCTGTCTCTCTTCTCATATCCCCACCTGTCGAAGCACCACACAACAATACTACGTTCTCGTCTCTCCCGTCTCCCTACTCGCGCACAGCGGCAGCACCGCCAGCAGCAGCAGCAGCAGCAGCAGCAGCAGCATCAGGGTCTGCCAGCGGCCAGGCGTATGCTGCACCTCCACTCTTCCCTATGACCAAGGACGGGCTCAAGGCATGCCTGGCGTTCCTCTGCTCGCATGTCTCAGCCGCCATGCCATCCCGGGGCAACTTGAAGCAGGTGCTGCAGGCGCTGCTCCCCTCAGCTCCTCCTCATAGCAGGACAGAGCAGGAGGATTAGCGAGATTGTAACACTGGTTGTACCTCGTATCGTATTGTAACTCCTGACTTGAGCACCACCAAAGTGTGTCCTCCTGGATCCCTACTTAGAGCACCATGAGGCAGCAACACCAGGGCATCCCTTTCTGACATGGAGCCCATGTTTCTGGAATGAGCAGAAGGATTGTGCCAGCTGGCTGATTTACTGAAGCTCTAAGGGTGGAAGCGGATTGCGCTATCACAAAGATGTACAAATGAATAAACAAACAAATGAGTAAACAAACAAATGATACGGTAATCTGGCAGCTCCCCCACCTAGACGACTGGGTGCCTTTCCACTGAGAATCTCAGATCCTAGCTCTATTGCATGCATGCTCTAACAGGACGCACTAGTAGAATCGTTCAAAAATAAGGGCGTATTCCTAGCTTCGGGTCATCCCGCCTTCATGTCATCCGAAATTGTGGGATCCAATCGAAAAAATCAAATCTCGAACCGCGGGCTTTCCGATTGGCTCCCACAATTTTCGGATGACACAAAGAACGGATGACCCGATAGGAATACGCCCTAATTCCTCCCCTCATCTTCACACAAGCCGAAGAAAGTCACGGAGCAGCCGCGGATCCCGGAGCAGCAGCCGAGCCAGGCGCGCTCACCGAACCAGGTGCGCTCTCCGAACCTGGCGCACCTTCCGAACCAGGGGCGCCGGCTCTGGCAGCCGCCTCTGCTGCCTCCGCGGCAGTCTCCGCGGCCTCCGCAGCTGCTGCCTTCTCCGCCACAATCCTGTCCGCCTCCGCCCTGCGCGCTTGCGCGGCCTTCAGCACCGCCCGCAGCTTCGTCAGCCGCACCGCCGCGGCCTTCGCCACCTTTTCCGCCGCCTTCGCCGCGTCTTCCGCTGCTTTCGCGTCCGCCTCCGCCTTCGCCGCCGCCGCCTCCGCCGCAGCCGCTTTGTCCAACAGAGCCTGCTCGTCCGGCGTGAGGGTCACCTTGAGAATCCGCGCCGCCTCCGCGGTGGCCCTGGTTGCCTCCGCGCTCGCGGCGGCCTCTTCCGCGGATGCGCTCTGCGCGTCCTTATTCAGCTCTGCCGCCTTCTTTTGCTCCGCCTTTGCCTTCGCGTCCGCCGCCTTCGCCGCTCCGCTGCCTTTGCCCTTGCTCTTGGCGGCGTCCGTTGCCGCCTTGGTCGCGTCGTCGGCGGTCTTCTGCTGTGCGCCTGCCGCCGCTGTGGCCTTGTTTTTCCGTGCCTTCGCCTGCACGGCCTTTTCCAGCGCCTTTTGCGCCTTCTCCTGCGCCTTCTGATACTTGTCGGCAGCTTCCGCTTTCTTCTTCAGCCCCGCGGTCGCCTGCTTCGCGTCCGTCGCGTTTTTCCGCGCCTGCTTCGCGGTGGCCTTTGCAGCGATTGCCGCCGCGTTTGCCGCCTGCCAATCCGCTGCTGCTTTCACCGCCGCCGTCTCCGCTGCTGCCACGTTGGCGGTGGCAGTTGCTTCTTCAGCGGCGCGAGCATCGGCTATGGCCTTTGCTGCGTCCAGATCAGCAGCAGCCTGATCCGCCGCGGCTCGTAAGCGAATCGCGATCTCCTCCAGCGTTTCCTGTATCTCCGTAAGACAAATGCGCCTCGCCTCCGCAGCACGAGGTGCAATCGCCAGAAGGAATATGACGCAGAAAGAAAGGGTTATAGCGAAGCTTGAGCGTGCCATGATGGTTCTACGGGATACTACTAGAAGGGATTTTTTTATGTTGCTGAGCCTTGGTGAAAAGAAAGTTGGGACGTGGTGAGTGTTGAGCTCGAATTGTGAAGCTGTGAGGGACCAAAACTATGGAGGTGGGAATTTGTATTCTCAGCAAAATCACATGTGCGCTTCGGCACAGTGCTCCTCCAAATTCCCTGGTGGCAGCGCGTTGACGAAAAGACAATTCCAGTAGATCCTGCTTCGCCAACACAACACGATCGCGAAAGAGCACGTTTGTGGTTGAGCTGTCACAATTTCCCTCACAAATCCCACCAACCATGTTTTTCAAGGTGCTCCACCGGAACCAGTGGCAGGCTGGGCCGCTTGAAGCTCGACGACTAATATTGGGTGGTTTGGGGGGAGGCGATGCCAGCAATCATGTCGTTGTCGACAGTGTAACACAACGTGGCCACAGGTGGACCCGCCCTGCGTTGCCAACTAAAGACAGCTTAGTCTGAAAGCGACGTGGAACTCGCTAATAGATGGCGCACAAGAACGATAAATATTCTGATTGCTGTAAACTATAGAGATGCACAGTCGTCCGTTCATAAACTGAATTGCAGGTGTAACCATAAGATCATAGTGAACGTAAGTAGTGGTTTTAATATCACATACATATTTTCTGTACCAATGCATCGTATCTAATAAAAGTTACTGACAGGAATGGTGTTCTCCACAATCAAGGTTGTTCAAAATAATACTGGTTGTGCCTTGCGAACATCCTCTCCTCTGATTAACGAATCTTTTAAAAACGCTTCTCTGCCCAAGCCGCGTGTTTGCGCGGGAAGCACCCGCTTGGTCCCAGGCTTTGTCAGAAGGAAGAGTGATTGCAATATACTATACGCGGTTGCTCCCTTCACGCCGACGTACACCTGAATAAGATTGGGGTTTCGCCTCCATATTCTAGCAGTGCGAAGAACGCTGTTGATAATTGATTTTCTCCACTCGTGGCTCGCTTTCTCTTTAGATTTTTGCGTACTACGTAGCGTAACTGATGTTTCAGTGTTTTCAGCCAAAATTTGATCTAGGGTATGCAGAATGACACTTCTCCTTCAAGCCTTCTGGGTGCTATGTACGATTCTTGTTGCTTGGTTGATTGGGTGCTATGTACGAGTGTTGTTGTTTGGTTGGTCTGCTCTGCTGGCCAGTAATCTAGACCAGACCCTTGCCCAGATCAAACAGGGTTCCAGGCCATGCACGAAGGAGATGCACGCAACCGTCAGGCTTCATTTCACGGGTCGGACTCCCTTCCCTACGCTATACCATGAATTACGGTCATTCGTTCGCTCAAACCGGATTCTAGTCGAGCTTTGCTCCAAGGTAAACGTGCTTCGTGTTTCCCGCCTCGCTGCCAGCCATGCCTGCCAGTCACGCCGAAGCGCTGTCTCCACAACGAGTCGCATCGAACGGAGGCGCACAGGCTTCTCTGATTTGCCACAGCACGGTCCCTCCAATCATGACACAAACCGATGGTAACTGCCACTGTGCGACTCTTCCAGCGAACGATCACCGAGATCACGAAGTTGCGATGATCGCCGCCTGAGGCAACGTCGCGTCGCCGGCCTTCGCACCGGAAACGCCTTCGCGGAGCCAATCAGCTAGGACAGGAAAATTGAGCCCTAGAATCTCGAGTTCAGAAATCCAAGGGATGCGCAACCACGCCCTTTCCGAAGGGTCGGCAAGAGACTTCGGCGCATCGCATTCGTTTGGTGCGGCGGTCGAGGTAGCAGGTCGAGACCAGCGCTCACAGATCGGCGGAGCGGAAGGGGGAGCAGAAGCGGGAGCGGTGAGGGGAGCGGAGAGAAGTGCGGAGGGGGAAGCGGGGGGGGCCACGGGGGAAGCGGAAGTTAGGGCGGCGAAGGGGGAACCGGAAATTAGGGCGGTGGAGGGCGGCGGTAGTACCTCGAGTCGAGGCCGGCAGGTGCTGATTCGGGTGAAGCGGAAGCGCGGGGAGGCGTCATCTGACGTGATCGTGGTGGAGGCGGCACCCAGGGGCGGCAGAACCAAGCTTGCGCGCAGCCACGTGGAGGCCCTCCGGGCTCTGAGTCTGGGCGGGGGAGGCGGAGGAGGCGGGGGAGGCGGGGGAGGTGGGGGAGGCGGGGGAGTTGGGGGAGGCGGGAACGAACGGGATGCGCGGGTGGCGCGGGAGGGACGGGGAAGCGCGGTCGAGGAGGCAAAGACTCTGGAGGGTCGAGGAGAAGACGCGTCTGCTTCCACTGGTCCACGTGCGTCGCCGCTCATTTCTTCCCCCGTCCTTCCCCCTTTTTCGCAACCTCCCCCCCCCTCCGCTTATTACACATCCCCTTCCCCCACATTTTGTTCCTGTCTTCCGCTGTTCTTCCCCCCCACCCCGGTCTCCCATCCTCCGCCCGCTTCCTTACCCCCCTGTTCTCTCCCTTTCTATCTCCCCGCTTTTCCCCCACCCCTGCGCCCCCTTCCCCTCTCCCCTTCCCCGCATCTGATCCCGCTTTGATGCAGCGCCCGCGCGCGGGGGCGCGTCGGCGGGGCGGCGGCTGGTGTTCTGGCGGGTGGGGTCCATGCCGTGGGCGAGCCTGCGCCACGCAGGCGCGGCGGACAGAACGTTCCGCCGGGTAAAGCTGCAGCAGCAACAGCAGCAGCAGCAGCAGCAACAGCAGCAGCAGCAGCAGCAGCAGCATGGGGAAGAGGGTGCGTCTCATCGTGCATCTCCTCTCGAGCAGCAGCGGCGGCGGCTGCAGGGGCAACCAGATGGCTTGTCCGGCGCTGCTGCTGATGCAACGGTTCAGCGGCAGTTTGCAGCCGCGTCCGCGTTTGAGGCCGTCCCGTTTGAGCAGCAGCGGCGCAGTGCGAAGGGCGGCAGCCCGCCCCGACTGCGCGTGGCGGCCAGCCGAGCGAGAGAGGTGCGGATGGTGCGAATGATGCAACTGATGCGACGGCCATGGGCGGATATGGCTTGGGGAAGAAGGGGGAAAGGGGGAAGTGGGGAGTGGGAGGGGGGAGAGGGAGGGCTGGGAAGAGGAGAAACGGTTGATGTTTCGATGGTTGGAAGGCTGCATGGGTTGAGCCGCTCGGGTTGGGATGCTCCTTTGTATGAAAACACTGACTGACTGTTGTGCCTGTCCGTCCCTTCCTCTTGTCCGTCCCTTCCTCTTGTCCGTCCCTTCCTCTTGTCCGTCCCTTCCTCTTGTCCGTCCCTTCCTCTTGTCCGTCCCTTCCTCTTGTCCGTCCCTTCCTCTTGTCCGTCTCTTCCTCTTGTCCGTCTCTTCCTCTTGTCCGTCCCTTCCTCTTGTCCGTCCCTTCCTTTTGTCCGTCTCTTCCTCTTGTCCGTCTCTTCCTCTTGTCCGTCTCTTCCTCTTGTCCGTCTCTTCCTCTTGTCCGTCTCTTCCTCTTGTCCGTCTCTTCCTCTTGTCCGTCCCTTCCTCTTGTCCGTCTCTTCCTCTTGTCCGTCTCTTCCTCTTGTCCGTCCCTTCCTCTTGTCCGTCCCTTCCTTTTGTCCGTCTCTTCCTCTTGTCCGTCCCTTCCTCTTGTCCGTCTCTTCCTCTTGTCCGTCTCTTCCTCTTGTCCGTCTCTTCCTCTTGTCCGTCCCTTCCTCTTGTCCGTCTCTTCCTCTTGTCCGTCCCTTCCTCTTGTCCGTCTCTTCCTCTTGTCCGTCTCTTCCTCTTGTCCGTCCCTTCCTCTTGTCCGTCCCTTCCTCTTGTCCGTCTCTTCGCCCTGTGAAAGAAGGAGTGTTTTGAGACGTCTCAAAACACTGACTGACTGTTGTGCCTGTCCGCCCCTTCCTCTTGTCCGTCTCTTCGCCCTGTCTCTTCTCCCGTACCTCCCTGCCCCAGGTGTCTAGAATGCAGCGCCATGCTCTGCTGCAGCAGAAGAGGGAATGCCCTGTCTTTTCTCTTCCTGCCACCGCTGCTACCACTGCCACTGCTGCTGCTGCTGCTGACGTTGCTGGAGGGAAGGGAGGAGGAAAGAAGGAAGAGGACAAAAGGGATGGGCATGAAGGTTCAAACTTGGGAAAGGGAAAAGGTGTTGAATACGGTTCTTTGGAAAGGGGGGAAGGAGGGAAAGGGATGGAGGCTGCGAAAGGTGGAACAAGAGGGGATGAGAAGGAGGAGGCGGAGGGGGAGGAGGAGGAGTGGATGCGGCTGTTCAATGTGGTGGATGCAGAGCAGGTGCGGGCAGCGGAGGAGGAGGCTGCTAGGAAGGCCAAGAGGAGAGAGCAGGCACTCAGGTGTGTGTGTGTGTGTGCTCGCGCGCGCGCGCACGCGAGCGCATGCTTGCGTGCGTATCCTTGCTCGCATTGTCCTTCCTTCCCGATACGCTGTACCATTGAGGCGCATCTCAAGTCGCCCGCACTCCTCTGACTGACTGCCTGACTTTCTTCCTTCCCTTCTCTCTCCCTCCCGCCCTACCCCCCTTTTTTTTTAAAACGACGTACGCCGCATGGTGGGGCAGGGAGCGAGAGGCGAGGGAGGGGCAGCTGGCGTGCAACTACCTGCCACTGCTGAGAGAGTTCCTTCCAGAGGCTGCACGGGAGATGGAGGAGAAGATGGTGCAGGAGCAGCAGCAGAGAGGCATTTCTGCTGATGCTGCCACAGGTAAGACCTCCTTCCTTGCTTCCTACGTTTCTGAAGTATGCGCTTCTGTACAGTTGGTGTCACATCAATCTTGAGTCGCCTTAGTCAGTCTCGAGTCTTTTCTGTGTTGTGATTCTTTGTGAGTCTTACGAGTTTTGTGAGGAGTGGTGCCGTCAATGAGCTGACGACAACGACCAGGTGATGACAACAATAATCGTGATGCATGATGATCGTGATTGTTACGGTGTCGAAACATGCAGTGTGGTGCATTTAAGGGATGTGCATGTGTGCGCGGTCACGCATCCCAAAACACAAAATGACAAAAAGAAATCCTCCTATTTTTTTATACCACCCTCCCGCATCAGGGCAATGGGGTCTCCAAAATTCCATTGCTCCACAGCAGCAAGCTGAGCAGGAGCAGCAGGACACGGATTCAGACGATGTGTGTGACCTGTACTGCATGGAGGGGTGCCTCTCTGATGACGATGACGACATGGATGGACCGCTGGGCTCGTACCTCCACCACCACTCTGCACCGTACCCAACGTGAGTGGGCAGTGAGCATGGGCAGCAAAAGCATAGGACATGGGGCCAGCAGCACAGGCCTGCTCTTGAAACAGCAGCATGCAGAGGTGCATGCGCTTTGTGGGGTTGCAGATAAGATTTCGAAAGTGGAACGTGATTTTTTCTGGGCGGGAACGGAGGGGTTTCTTTGTGGTGACTGGAGAGCCTGCAGAGACTGCTCGTCTCAAGAAATATATGTGCTCTTGGTGCTCTCACAATGCCTCACAACATGTTTTGTTTCTTTCCCTTCTGCCCTCGGTCTGTGTCCTCTGTCCCAGGCTGCGCATATGTGACAACCACGTGTTTGACGAGAGTGGGGAGCCCTTCACTCTCAGCAAAGGGGACGCGCTTATTTCAGACGGTGACAGTGACGACTCAAATGGTATGCTGCTGCAGCCTGTATCGTCAATGGCGCTGTGCTGTAGCAGCAAATGGTGCTGTCTGGTTTTTTTTTTTTTTGGTGATGATTTTCCTGATTTTTGCTGTTGTGCTTCGTCGTCTTCTTGCGGTGTGCATTGTTTTGGCGCTCGATGGTGCAGCGGAGAATAACCCTCTGAACGACTACGGAGATGAAGAGGACGATGACGAGGACGAGGGCATGTGGGGTGCGGACGCCGATGGTGATGATGATGACTATGAGTACGAAGAGTATGAGAGCTATGCTGGCCGGGATGATGATGATGACGACGATGATGATTTTTGACGTCCGAAATGACATGGCGGGGCAGCTCTCATCAACATGGCCGTTGTATGATTTTGCGGAAGGCATTATCTTGCCCACGTGATTGTTAAACAACAAGTGAATTGCTCTTGTCAGTAGCATGCCCCTTTTGCTATGCAGGTGTTCACAGGTGTTTGGTCCATAAAACATTTTGGCATCACCTCGCCACCACCAGCCAGAATCACCACAGCCGTTGATACGTCCAATGGAAGGTCAGGATTCGACTGTGCCACAACCTATTCAGCCAGCAGCATGAGTTGAGCTTGCCCATGAAATAAGTGTGGTGTGAAGGAAACCAGCCACTCAACAGGTATGAATGGGACCTCCCCAACTGTCTACTGTATTCTTCTGGCTGAACTTTGTTTCTGATACCACCGGCCCGTATACCCTAAGGACGCGTCACATCCCTCGATCGATCCTGCGCAGGGTCGATTTTGGATTCAGTTTAAAAGTTTTAATACTTGGGAGTTTTAGCGTGTCGGACGATAGATCTTCCTCGATTTTGCACGATCGATCGAGGGAGGTGACGCGTTCTAAGCAAAAACTGGAGAAGATCGTGCCTGCACAAGTTCCGGATCCACTAGGAGAAAAACATTTACGATGTTACAGTACATGGCTCTAGCAGAAGCAGGGTGAGCAGCCCCACACACAGTCAACAGGAGCTCATCTCCATCTACAGCAAAGCTCGAGAGTGCAGAAGGTATAAAACAAGAACCAACAGCCGGGTTCAACATTCAGCAGCATGCGTGCAGCATGGTGAGCCAACAGCATTGTCGCGGTCATCAAGATGCTCTTATCTCCCTATCACTCTTACAGCAGCTGGTGTGGCAGCGTCAGCCACAACACTACAGCAACAGCAGTGCAGCAGCAGGTACCGTAAGTGGCAGTAGTCGGAGCAGCGGTGGAGCCAGCGACAGCACCAGCGGCAACAGCGGGAGCAACAGCGGCAGAAGCAGCAGGAGCAGGAGCAGCAACAGCAAAGCCAGCAGCAGCAGCAGCTGTAGAGCACTACTTCTTAGGCAGGTTGGTGAGTCGGCTGTAGAGCAATCCAGGAGCAGGGGTGCCATTGGCTTCGATGTGCTGCTCCCACATCTCCCTGCACTCTTGCACCACCTGCACCAAGAGACGCGTGGAGAAATGACATGCAAAGGAGGGCAAGAAGTGGATTATTTAATCGACTAAAAATCAAGCTGGGAGTAGGAGTGGCATTCGCCTTGATGTGCTGCTACCACATCTATCTCCCTGCACTCTTGTACCACCTCCACCGCAAGGCAAATGGCATGGTATGGTATGCCACGCAGGGCAAGACGCGACACGGGCAGTGGCATGAGGGCACGGCATATCACAGCATGAGAGCAGCTGGTTTGGGAGAAATGTTAAGGGAGACATTTAAAAATCAAGGAGTTGTACAGATGAGGTCACAACGCAGCATGCCATGAGGAACGACGGCATGGCAGAGGCAGGAGGGTGGGGTCCATTAAAAGAGGCGAGGGGGCAGCAGACAAGGCATGAACAGGAAACAGTGGGGGAGAATGATGTGGGTGCATTATTGCAAGTGCTGCTGCACACTGTGGGGTGCACTAGAGCAGTGTATGCCCCCTTGCCTGTCCCCACTGCAGCACCATCGGTCTATGACCCATGGCTTGCAGCACCACCCGTCTGTCATCTGTAGCTTGGAAGGTAGCTTGGAAGGTAGCTTGCACAGTAGCTTGCACAGCGCAATCCAGCCCAGCTCACCTCCTTGGCTGCCTTCTTGGGAATGCCTTCACGCAGGTTGACCACCTTGTCCACCACCTCAGGCTGCACGTGCGATGGCATGGAATGGTGGGGTGGAGAATGGGGATTAGGGCAATGCGAATGGGTGCAGAGGGGTAATGAGTGGTGGCACGAAGGCAAGCCTTCACGCAGGTTCACCACATTGTCTACCACCTCAGGCTGAACGTGCGATGGCAGGGCACGAATGGTGGGGGAAAGGGGTGGGGGTACAAGGTGGAGTGGTGGGAAGGGTTAACGAGGAGTGGTGAAACAATGGAATGCCTTCACGCAGGGTCACCACCTTGTCTACCACCTCAGGCTGCACGTGCGATGGCATCGCACGAATGGTGGGAGCGGAAGGTGTGGGGCGTGGGCACAGATGGAGTATTTAGCAGGGAAACGAGGACGGGCGAGGAGGAGGGTTGGTGACACGGAGGAAAGCCTTCACGCAGAATCATAGAAGCTCCCCCGGGCAATAAAACTGGAAGGCCCCTCAAAAGCATTATCATAGAACGAAAGCCAGGATTCTGAACACCAAGGCCGGGACTTACTCTCCATAGATCCCAGAGCTGCACAAGAGCAGTGGCAAGAGCTTTTGGGAACTCCCAAAGTGCTGAAGAGCAGCTGCATGTAATTGAGAGAGTGGAGGTCTTCGCGTCGTCTGATGCCCTTTTCTGAGTCGGCAGAAAAAAAAAAAACACCCTAGAAGTCACCTCAAAGGTTGCTGCGAGAGAACACTTACGGGGCAGTCAGGCGTGTTGGAGAGCAGCTGTGTGTAGTTGAGCGTGAAGGTCTCCGCATCGTCTGATGCCGCAAGGGACCTCAAATCCGCAAGTGGCTGCACCCGCTTGTCCAGTTTCTGCAGGCAGGGCGGAGGAGGGGAACGGGGGGCAGGGTATTGGGGGCAGGGGATTGGGGGTAGGGTGGTGGGGGGAGAGGTGGTGGTTTTTGAGGGAAGAAAGTGACGGGAATGGCGGAAAGGGAGAGTGGAGGACTGTTCTAGTGCACAGGGGGGGGTGCGTAATCTAAATCAAGAGCCAACAGTGGCAGCACGTTTATTATTGGCCGGCTCAAGGGGCAAGGGTCAAGGGGCAAGGGTCAAGGGGCAAGGGTCAAGGGGCAAGGGTCAAGGGGCAAGGGGCAAGGGTCAAGGGGCAAGGGGCAAGGGTCAAGGGGCAAGGGTCAAGGGGCAAGGGTCAAGGGGCAAGGGTCAAGGGGCAAGGGGCAAGGGGCAAGGGTCAAGGGGCAAGGGTCAAGGGGCAAGGGTCAAGGGGCAAGGGGCAAGGGTCAAGGGTCAAGGGTCAAGGGGCAAGAGTCAAGGGGCAAGAGTCAAGGGGCAAGAGTCAAGGGGCAGCATGCAGGTCACACTAGGCAGTGCTGAGAATTCTTTGGAGATGTAACCGGTATCTGCTTTTGAAGTAACCATTTCTGCTGTGAGACATAGCCGTACCTGCTGCGAGATGTGTACCTGCTATGATATGTGGTGGTACCTGCTGCAAGTTGTAACCGTACCTGCTGCACAATGAAACCGTACCGCTGCAAGGTGTAACCGTACCTGCTGCAAGCTGTAACCATACCTGCTGCACGATGAAACCGTACCGCTGCAAGGTGTAACCGTACCTGCTGCAAGTTGTAGCCGTACCTGCTGCACAATGAAACCGTACCGCTGCATGTTGTAACCGTACCTGCTGCGAGATGTACTCCTGGAAGTACTCCCTGATGCTGTCCTCGTCCTTGCTCATCTGATTGATGGTTGCCTCTGTTATGCTTTGGCGCTGTTGTGCATGCACCAGGGGGCAAGTGCAGGAGGAAGGAGAGGAGTATTTTCAGTCCACTCGGAGGTCGCCTATGGAGCTGTTATGCATGCACCAGGGGGCAAGTGCAGGAGGAAGGAGGATAATATTTTCAGTCGACTCAGAAGTTGATATGTTGCGCTGTTATGCATGCACCAGGAACAGGTAAAGCGCAGGGCAAGGAGAAAACGAGCATAGATCATACACGGCATTGCATGTGCTCATACACACGGACGGGGAATACACGTGCATATGTATTGCCTGGATGCATTTTTAATCCCTTTACATTTACCTGCAGTAGTAGCAGCAGCAGCAGCAGCAGCAGGGCACCGACTGCATGAGCAGGTCTACGTAATCCACAACCGTGCACTTCAAGCACAAACATATCCACACCCACACCCACACCCACACTCACCACTATCCGTACACATATGTGCATGCACAACTGTCATACACAAAATCCCCCCCCCACCGTTGCTAGCAGCAGCAGCGCACTCACCGACTGCATGAGCAGGTCCACATAGACCACCACCGTGCGCTCCAAGCACACCTCTATCCACACCCATACCCACAACCAGAACCAGCAAAGGAGATCCCCCCATCGCTAGCAGCACTGCTGCACAGTGCACTCACCGACTGCATGAGCAGGTCGACATAGACCACCACCGTGCGCTCCAAGCACACCTCCGCAAAGCGGCGGAACGAACGGTCCTCTATCCACCTGTGGTGCAACGTGAAAGCGAGGGGAGAAGGGAGGGAGGGGAGGGGGGGAGGAGCGAGGGAGGGCGGAGAAGGAGGATATAGGGTGGTGTGGAGAGAAGGAAACGGCTCCCTACACCAGAATGTACGTGTGGATGTCCTGGCTGAAAGTAATCCTAGAGAAATTCTCTTTGAGATGACCAAAAGTGAATTTCTAGGTCAGAACAAAAACACTTGTTCCTTTCTGGCAGTGAGAGCGCATCCGTCACCTGTTGATGTCCCAGAAGTAGTTTTCAAAAGATGTTTTTGGGATGACATGACAAACAGCAAGTGTTGAAGTCACACAAAAGCACGGAATCCTGTGTCGCAGTGAGAGTGCATCCGTCACCTGTTGATGTCCTGGAAGTAGGTAGGTAGTCCTCGAGAACGTAGTAGCAATGAAGGTCATCTGTAAGTTGACTCAAAGCTGAGCTGAACTTATTTCTCACCTGTTGATGTCCTGGAAGTAGTCCTCGAGCGTAGCGATGAAGGTGTTGGTCATGTTGCCCTCCAGCCACTCTGCATTGCATTGCACCCCCCACCACGAGCAACCACATGAGGCGGTGTGGCACGGGCAGCCAACAGCACATCGACACATGGTTATTCACATCACACAGCGGAGGGGATGAGATGAGACAATGAATGTCTGTCAGTCAGTCAATGGCGTTTCAGAATTCGCCCTTTGGCAAAGCTTGCCTTTTTAGTCAAGCTGGCCTTTTTAAGTAAGCTTGCCTTTTTAGTCAAGCTGGCCTTTTTAATTCAGCTTGCCTTTTTGGTAGAGCTTGGCGACGACATCATTGAGGGACTCGAGGAACATGAACTCCACCGCCTGATTGGCCGCTTCCTGGACGCATGACATGGGGGATACAGCATGGGCATGGGCAGGGGCAGGGGCAGGGGCAGGGGCAGGGGCAGGGGCAGGGGCAGGGGCAGGGGCAGGGGCAGGGGCAGGGGCAGGGGCAGGGGCAGGGGCAG